AGAGCAGTTAGGCAAGAAAAAGAAATAAAGCATATTCAAACAGGAAAAAAGAAAGCCAAATTGTCTCTATTTGCAGACGACATGATAGTATATCTAGAAGACCCCATCATCTCAGCCCAAAAACTCCTGAAACTGATAAGCAACTTCAGCAAAGTCTCAGGATACAAAATCAATGTGCAAAAATCACAAGCATTCCTATACACTAATAACAGACTTAAAGAGAGCCAAATCAAGAACAAACTGCCATTCACAATTGCTACAAAGAGAATAAAATACCTAGGAATACAACTTACAAGGAACGTAAGGGACCTCTTCAAGGAGAACTACAAACCACTGCTCAACAAAATAAGAGAGGACACAAACAGATGGAGAACATTCCATGTTCATGGTTAGGAAGAATCAATACTGTGAAAATGGCCATACTGCCCAAAGAAATTTACAGATTCAATACTATCCCCATCAAGCTACCAATGACCCTCTTCACAGAACTGGAAAAAACCACCTTAAACTTCATATGGAACCAAAAGAGAGCCCGCATAGCCAAGTCAATTCTAAGTAAAATGAACACAGTGGGAGGCATCACATTACTGAACTTCAAACTATACTACAAGGCTACAGTAATCAAAACAGTATGGTACTGGTACCAAAACAGAGATATAGACCAATGGAACAGAACAGAGGCCTCAGAGGCAATACAACATATCTACAACCATACAATCTCTGATAAACCTGACAAAAACAAGCAATGGGGAAAGGATTCTCTGTTTAATAAATGGTGTTGGGAAAACTGGCTAGCCATGTGCAGAAAGCAGAAACTGGACCCCTTCCTGACACCTTGCACTAAAATTAAATCCAGGTGAATTAAAGACTTAAACATAAGACCTAACACCATAAAATCCCTAGAAGAAAATCTAGGCACAACCATTCAGAACATAGGCGTAGGCAAGGACTTCATGACCAAAACACCAAAAGCATTGGCAACAAAAGCCAAAATAGACAAGTGGAACCTAATCAAACTCCACAGCTTCTGCATGGCGAAAGAAACAGTCATTACAGTGAATCAGCAACCAACAGAATGGGAAAAAAATTTTGCAGTTTACTCATCTGACAAAGGGCTGATATCCAGAATTTACAAAGAACTAAAACAGATTTACAAGAAAAAAACAAGCCCATTCAAAAATGGGCAAAGGATATGAACAGACACTTTACAAAAGAAGACATAGATTAGGCTGAAAAACATGAAAAAATGCTCATCATCACTGGTCATTAGAGAAATGCAAATCAAAACTACATTGAGATACCATCTCAGGCCAGTTAGAATGGCGATCATTAAAAAATCTGGAGACAACAGATGCTGGAGAGGATGTGGAGAAATAGGAACACTTCTACACTGCTGGTGGGAGTGTAAATTAGTTCAACCATTGTGGAAGACAGTGTGGCGATTCCTCAAGGACCTAGAAATAGAAATTCCATTTGACCCAGCAATCCCATTACTGGGTATATATCCAAAAGACTATAAATTGTTCTACTATAAGGACACATGCACACGAATGTTCATTGCAGCACTGTTTACAATAGCAAAGACCTGGAATCAACCCAAATGCCCATCGATGATAGACTGGACTGGGAAAACGTGGCACATATACACCATGGAATATTATGTAGCAATCAAAAACGATGAGTTCGTGTCCTTTGTAGGGACACAGATGAACCTGGAGAACATCATTCTCAGCAAACTGACATAAGAATAGAAAATGAAATACCGCATGTTCTCACTCATAGGCAGGTGTTGAATAATGAAAACACATGGACACAGGGAGGGGAGCACATACTCAAGTTTCTTATATTGTTTTGTTTTTTTGAGACAGTCTCTCACTGTCTCCCGGGCTGGAGTGCAACGGCACAGTCTTGGCTCACTGCAACCTCTGCCTTCCAGGTTCAAGTGATTCTCCTGCTTTAGCCTCCCAAGTAGCTTGGATTACAGGTGCCCACCACCACACCCGGCTAATTTTTTGTATTTTTAATAAAGACAGGGTTTCATTATATTGGCCAGGCTGGTCTCAAATTCCTGACCTTGTGATCTGCCCACCTTGGCCTCCCAAAGTGCTGGGATTACAGGCATGAGCCACCATGCCCAGCTACATACACAAGTTTCAATAGCCAAATCAATCAAGTGGAAGAAATGATATCAGAGATTGAATATCAACTCATTGAAATAAAGCAAGAAGGCAAGATTAGAGAAAAAAGAGTAGAAATAAATGAACAAAGCTTCCAAGAAATATGGGATTATATGAAAAGACCAAATCTACATCTGATTGGTGTACCTGAAAGTAACAGGGAGAATGAAACAAAGTTGGAAAACACTCTTCAGGATATTATCCAGGAGAACTTCTCCAACTTAGCAAGGCAGGCCCGAGCCTGTATATTAACTAATCTATAGCTAAACACAGAACATGTATATTAACTAATGGGCTTGAAACTAGTCAATAAGACTAAAACTTGATTTTACTGAGTTATATGTCAGTTTACAGTGTTATATTTTCCTGGAATTTGATATAAAAATTAATTCAGAGTCCACTAAAAATGTAATGCTTTATGTTAAAAATTGTGAAATATGCTTAGATAATTATTTAAAGCCTACACCTGAATGAGAGAAAATCCACCTAAACTTAAATTGATTGGATTTACAAATGGCTTCTTCCCCCCATTTTAACCCCACCAATGTCAATTTCTTTTTATCATTACACTATCAAAATTCCAGTATAATTTTTGAAATTGCATCTCTGTTGGCTCCCTTAATCTAAAAGATTCTCACAAAATATAAGAACAACCTTAAATATTACTGGAACAAAAACAGACATTACAGTCCAATGGAACAGAATAGAAAGCCCAGAATAAATCCATGCATTTATAGTCAGCTGATCTTCAACAAAGGTGTCACGAATCCATGATGGGGAAAGAACAGTCTCTTCAATAAACGATACTGGGGAAACTGGATATTTACTTTTGGAAGAGTGAACTTGCACCCTATCTCACCCCATACACAAAAAGTCAACTCAAAGTAAACGCTTAGCTGTGAAACCTGAAACTGGAAAACGACTAGGTAAAATATAGGAAAAAATCTTCTTGACATTGGTCTGGACCAAGATTTTTTGGATATGACTGAAAACCATAGGCAACAACAACAAAAAAAAAAACAGGCAAATGATATTGTGTCAAACTAAAAAGCATTTGCACAGCAAAGGAAACAATTATAAAGAGGCAACCTACAGAATGGGAGAAAATATCTGCAAAGCTTACATTAGATAACAGGTTAATATTTTTTTTATAAAAGGAACTCAAACAACACAATAGCAAGAGAACAAGTTACTTCTCTAGAAAATGGGCAAAGAACCTGAAAAAATATTTCCCAAAAGAAGACATACAAATGGCCAAGAGGTATGTGAAAAAATGTTAAACATCATTAACCATCAGAGGAAAAGCAAATTAAAATCACAAAGAAATATTTTCATACCTGTTAGGATGGTCATAAACAAAAAGACAAAAGAAGAGTTGGCAAGAATGTAGAGAAAAGAGAACACCCTTGTATACTGTTGGTGTGAATGTAAATTAGTAGTTATTATAAAAAACAGCAGAGAGATTCCTCAAAAAAACAAAAACAGAAACAGAAATATAACTACCATAAGATGTGGAGATTCCACTTCTGTGTATACATCCAAAGGAAATGAAATCTGCACTCCCATCTTCACTGCAGCATTATTTACAACAGCCAAGCTATGGAGTCAATCTAAATGTCATCTATGGATGAATGGATAAAGAATATATGGTATATATACATAAGGGCATACTACTCAGCCTTAGAAGATATCCTGTCACTTGAGATAATATGGATGAACCTGGAGAATGTTATGCTAACTGAAATAAGCCCTGCATAGAAAGACAAATCCTGCATGTGGAATCTAAGAAAGTCAAATTCATAGAAGCAGAGAGTAGAAGGGTGGTTACCAGGGACTGGGGGGACAAAAGTGAGGGGATTGTGGAGATGTTGTTTTTTATTTTATTATTATTATTTTTTGAGATGGAGTTTTGTTCTTGTTGCCCAGACTGGAGTGTAATGGTGCAATCTCAGCTCACTGCAAACTCTACCTCCGGTAATCAAGCAATTCTCCTGCCTCTGGCTCCCGAGTAGCTGGTATTACAGGCGTATACCACCACAACCAGCTAATTTTTTGTATTTTTAGTAGATGTAGGGTTTCACCATGTCGGCCAGGCTGGTCTTGAACTCCTGACCTCAGGTGATCCATCCACCTAGGCCTCCCAAAGTACTGGGATTACATGCATGAGCCACCGCACCCGGCCCGAGATGTTGGTTAAAGGATGCAGAATTTCAGTTAGATAAGACGAGTAAGTTCAGGAAACTTATCGTACAACATAGTGACCACAGTTAATAATAATGTAGACTTAAAAATTGCTGAGAGAGTAGATTTTAAAAGTTCTCACCACAAAAAAATATGTGGAGTAATGCATATGTTAATTTGCTTGATTTAGCCATTTCACAATGTTTACATATATCAAAACATCATGTTGTATTCCATCAATATATTGATTTTTTATTTGTTAATTTACAAATAAAAAGAGCCACCTTAAATAAAATAAAAGTATTCTCACATTCTAAAATTAAAGACTATTTGTATTTTGAGAGATATAAATTGGAAAACCAAAAATAAAGAAATCCAAAGAGTAGAAAAAAAAGGAAAAATATGCTCAACCTTCCTTAGCTTTTTTTTTCCTACTTTCTTCCCTCCCTTATCCTCTCCTTGTCTCTTACCTTTCCTCCTCTACTCTTTCCCTTCTCCTTCCCTTATTTCGGTCTTGGAGCTAATATTTTAAAATGCTAACCATTATTAATACTTATTAATAGCAATATGTATCTTGCTCTTGTACTATATCTATAGTTACATGTCTTCAGAAAGGGAGAAATAAAAAGAAAAATGTTTTACCTTTGCCTCCTTTACAGTGAATCGCTATGATGTTCTCAGGATCTTGAGCCATCCACTCACTTGCTTCCTTTGAGAATACCACCATCTCACTGATTCCAAGATTAAGATTTTTAGTTAAATTATTTTCAAAAAATTAAGCCCAATATATTCAGCCCTCCTTCTGATAGTCAACTTAACATAAAACTTACTGTAAAGTGGGGACATTATGGTCATCAATCAGGATTCTACTGACCCTATTATGGAAGTGCTTAGGATCATAAGCTCTTTCACCTAAAATAAATAATATGTATGTCATATCTCTATAGGTAATACCATGGTAAATGATGAGGTTATTAATAGGTTAACATATCTTATTAGAAATTCCATATCCATCTTCAAAAAGAGCTTTCCAAGTTGCTCCTCCTGCTCTAAAATAAATGTAAGGGTCTCAAAAATGTAAGAATAGTAGTGTTTTATCCATCTCATGTACCCTAAACTCAACTTATTTTTGTTTAATAGGTGCAATTTTCAACTTTCTAGCAGACTAGTCATTATATTATTGCAGAGTAGTTAGAAACCACACAAGAGGCAAATGCAGCTGACCAAAAAGATTGCCTGCTGAAAATGTCTATTGAGTATACAGGTAGAGGAAAAAATCAAGAGAGACACAGTGGTAAGCTGGGTTACAACCTATTTTCTACAGAGTTTTTTTTTTTTGTTTTTTTTTTTTTTTGCTTTTTTCCCATCTATGACGGCCCTGCTCTCATCGCAACTCACTGCTGATGGATCAGAGGACTTATTTGTTAAATTGTCTATGTCCTCATAACACAATCTGGCAGGAGAAACAGAAAGACTTCCCTAAACCTAATATCGCCAGAACAGATCCTCCCTAAAATGGTTTACCTCCATGCCAGTCTCACTGGTCCTGCCAGAACTGCCTCCTTCATAGGGTACTTTGTGCTGCTGGGTTAACTCCTACCAAATGGGGCCAGTCCAAGGTGGGTATTTTTAAATTCATTCCTCATCACCACCAAATACTTATGATTAAATGCAATATAAAAAACAAAATCATCTTCTTATATGCAGTAATCTATTTTCTAGCTACAGTAGCAAAATATAAAGCAATGTACATACTGCAGAGATTGTAGACACGATAGTGATTTGGGTGCTTCTTGTCTAGAAACCGCACAACTTCCTAAAAAAAAAAAACCACACACACATACCTTACATATCCACATGGCACCATTTTTTTTTTTTTTTTTTGAGATGGAGTCTTGCTCTGTCTCCCAGGCTGGAGTGCAGTGGCTCAATTTCTGCACACTGCAACCTCCACCTTCCGAATTTAAGCAATTCTCTGCCTCAGCCTCCTGAGTAGCTGGGATTATAGGTGCGTGCCACCATGCCTGGCTAATTTTTTGTATTTTTAGTAGAAATGGGGTTTCACCATCTTGGCCAGGCTGGTCTTGAACTCCTGACCTTGTGATCCACCTGCCTCTGCCTCCCAAAGTGCTGTGATTACAGGCGTGAGCCACCGCGCCTAGCCCAATGGTTACTACTTTCTATTAATTTGTCTCTCACTAGCATCTTCTAGGGGAGATTCAGGGAATACCAGGGTATGCAAATTTCAAGTTTTAATCCACTGTGTTTTTTCAAGTAGTCCACTAAGTGTGTCTGGCTATTCAGATTAGTCTCTAGTGTAAATACACAGTGTTTAAAGCTATCGGATAAGTAAATTAGCTGGTTAACTAACTTTAAGTAAATTTGTTCCAAATTGTTAATTCACAGTTAATGTGGTTCTTATTTAAATATGATTCATATTGGTTCTTAAATTTAATTCTGAAGAGATGTGTCTTAAGATAGTGATCTGCATGTCACAGTCTACCTAAGCACTATGTAAACAAATAAATGCAAAAAGTATATAGTATGATTGTGTGTATGCATGACAGAAAAAGATAAATTTTATATCAAATTTTAAATAACTGGTAACAATATGGAGACTTTTTTGGCTCATCTGTTCTCTTTTTTTTTTAATTGCATTTTAGGTTTTGGGGTACATGTGCAGAACATGCAAGATAGTTGCATAGGTACACACGTGGCAGTGTGTTTTGCTGCCTTCCTCCCCTTCACCCACATTTGGCATTTCTCCCCAGGCAATCCCTCCCCAGCTCCCCACCGCCGCTGTCCCTCCCCTATTTCCCCCAATAGATCCCAGTGTGTAGTACTCCCCTCCCTGTGTCCATGTATTCTCATTGTTCATCACCCACCTATGAGTGAGAATATGTGGTATTTCATTTTCTGTTCTTGTGTCAGTTTGCTGAGAATGATGTTCTCCAGATTCATCGGTGTCCCTGCAAAGGACACGAACTCATCATTTTTGATTGCTGCATAATATTCCATGGTGTATATGTGCCACACTTTCCCAGTCCAGTCTATCATCGATGGGCATTTGGGTTGATTCCAGGTCTTTGCTATTGTAAACAGTGCTGCAATGAACATTCGTGTGCATGTGTCCTTATAGTAGAATGATTTATAGTCCTTTGGATATATACCCAGTAATGGGATTGCTGGGTCAAATGGAATTTCTATTTCTAGGTCCTTGAGGAATCGCCACACTGTCTTCCACAATGGTTGAACTAATTTACACTCCCACCAGCAGTGTAGAAGTGTTCCTATTTCTCCACATCCCCTCCAGCATCTGTTGTCTCCAGATTTTTTAATGATCGCCATCCTAACTGGCACGAGGTGGTATCTCAATGTTTTGATTTGCATTTCTCTAATGACCAGTGATGATGAGCATTTTTTCATACGTTTATTGGCCTCATGTATGTCTTCTTTTGTAAAGTGTCTATTCATATCCTTTGCCCATTTTTGAATGGGCTTGTTTTTTTCTTGTAAATCTGTTTTAGTTCTTTGTAAATTCTGGATATCAGCCCTTTGTCAGATGAGTAAACTGCAAAATTTTTTTCCCATTCTGTTGGTTGCTGATTCACTGTAATGACTGTTTCTTTCGCCATGCAGAAGCTGTGGAGTTTGATTAGGTTCCATTTGTCTATTTTGGCTTTTGTTGCCAATGCTTTTGGTGTTTTGGTCATGAAGTCCTTGCCTACTCCTATGTCCTGAATGGTTTTGCCTAGATTTACTTCTAGGGTTTTTATGGTGCCAGGTCTTATGTTTAAGTCTTTAATCCATCTGGAGTTAATTTTAGTGTAAGGTGTCAGGAAGGGGTCCAGTTTCTGCTTTCTGCACATGGCTAGCCAGTTTTCCCAACACCATTCATTAAATAGGGAGTCCTTTTCCCATTGCTTGTTTTTTTTCAGGTTTATCAAGGATTGTAAGGTTGTAGATAATGTTGTGTTGACTCCGATGTTCTGTTCCATTGGTCTATATCTCTGTTTTGGTACCAGTACCATGCTGTTTTGATTACTGTAGCCTTGTAGTATAGTTTGAAGCCTGGTAGTGTGATGCCTCCTGCTGTGTTCTTTCTGCTTAGAAATGACTTAGCTATGCGGGCTCTCTTTTGGTTTCATATGAAGTTTAAGGTGGTTTTTTTCCAGTTCTGTGAAGAAAGTCATTGGTAGCTTGATGGGGATAGCGTTGAGTCTGTAAATTACTTTGGGCAGTATGGCCATTTTCATGATATTGATTCTTCCTAACCATGAACATGGAATGTTTCTCCATCTGTTTGTGTCCTCTCTTATTTCGTTGAGCAGTGGTTTGTAGTTTTCCTTGAAGAGGTCCCTTACGTTCCTTGTAAGTTGTTTTCCTAGGTATTTTATTCTCTTTGTAGCAATTGTGAATGGCAGCTCATTCTTGATTTGGCTCTCTTTAAGTCTCTTATTGGTGTATAGAAATGCTTATAATTTTTGCACATTAATTTTATATTCTGAGACTTTGCTGAAGTTGCTTATCAGTTTCAGGAGTTTTGGGGCTGAGATGATGGGGTCGTCTAGATATACTATCATGTCGTCTGCAAATAGAGACAATTTGGCTTCCTCCTTTCCTATTTGAATACCCTTTATTTCTTTTTCTTCCCTGATTGCTCTGGCTAGAACTTCCAGTACTATATTGAATAGGAGTCGTGAGAGAGGGCATCCTTGTCTAGTGCCAGATTTCAAAGGGAATGCTTCCAGTTTTTGCCCATTCAGTATGATATTGGCTGTTGGTTTGTCATAAATAGCTTTTATTATTTTGAGATACATTCCATCAATACTGAGTTTGTTGAGGGTTTTTAGCATAAAGCGCTGTTGAATTTTGTCAAAGGCCTTCTCTGAGTCAATTGAGATAATCATGTGGTTTTTGCTTTTGGTTCTGTTTATGTGGTGAATTACATTTATAGACTTGCGTATGTTGAACCAGCCTTGCATCCCTGCAATGAAACCTACTTGATCATAATGGATAAGCTTTTTGATGTGCTGTTGCAATTGGCTTGCCAGTATTTTATTGAAGATTTTTGCATCTATGTTCATCATGGATATTGGCCTGAAGTTTTGTTTTCTTGTTGGATCTCTGCCGGGTTTTGGTATCAGGATGATGTTGGTCTCATAAAATGATTTGGGAAGAATTCCCTCTTTTTGGATTATTTGGAATAGTTTCAGAAGGAATGGTACCAGCTCCTCTTTGTGTGTCTGGTAGAATTCGGTTGTGAACCCATCTGGACTTGGGCTTTTTTTGTGTGGTAGGCTCTTAATTGCTGCCTCGACTTCAGACCTTGTTATTGGTCTGTTCATAGTTTCGGCTTCCTCCTGGTTTAGGCTTGGGAGGACACAGATGTCCAGGAATTTATCCATTTCTTCCAGGTTTACTAGTTTATGTGCATAGAGCTGTTTATAGGATTCTCTGAGGATGGTTTGAATTTCTGTGGAATCTGTGGTGATTTCCCCTTTATCGTTTTCTATTGCATCTATTTGGTTGTTCTCTTTTCTTTTTTATCAGTCTGGCTAGTGGTTTGTCTATTTTGTTGATCTTTTCAAAAAACCAGCTCTTGGATTTATTGATTTTTTGAAGGTTTTTTTGTGTCTCTATCTCCTTCAGTTCTGCTCTGATCTTAGTTATTTCTTGTCTTCTGCTAGGTTTTGAGTGTTTTTGATCTTGCTCCTCTAGCTCTTTCAATTTTGATGATAGGGTGTCAATTTTGGATCTCTCCACTCTTTTCATGTGGGCACTTACTGCTATATATTTTCCTCTGGAGACTGCTTTAAATGTGTCCCAGAGATTCTGGTATGTTGTGTCTCATTCTTGTTGGTTTCGAAGAACTTCTTTACTTCTGCCTTCATTTCATTGTTTATCCAAACAACATTCAAGAGCCAGTTGTTCAGTTTCCAAGAAGCTGTGTGGTTCTGAGTTAGTTTCTGAATTCTGAGTTCTAAGTTGATTGCACTCTGGTCTGAGAGGCTGTTTGTTATGATTTCAGTTGTTTTGCATTTGCTGAGCAGTGCTTTACTTCCATTTATGTGGTCAATTTTAGAGTAGGTGTGATGTGGTGCTGAGAAGAATGTCTATTCTGTGGATTTGGGGTGGAGAGTTCTGTAAATGTCTACCAGGTTTGCTTGTTCCAAGTCTGAGTTCAAGTCCTGGATATCCTTGCTAATTTTCTGTCTGGTTGATCTGTCTAATATTGACAGTGGAGTGTTAAAGTCTTCCACTATTATTGTGTGGGACTCTAAGTCTCTTTGTAAGTCATTAAGAACTTGCCTTATATATCTGGATGCTCCTGTATTGGGTCCATATATATTTAGGATTGTTAGCTCTTCTTGTTGTATCGATCCTTTTACCATTATGTAATGTCCTTCTTTGTCTCTTTTGATCTTGTTGCTTTAAAGACTATTTTATCAGAGATGAGAATTGCCACTCCTGCTTTTCTTTGCTCTCCATTTGCTTGGTAAATCTTCCTCCATCCCTTTATTTTGAGCCTTTGTGTATCCTTGCCTGTGAGATGGGTTTCCTGGATACAGCACACTGATGGGTTTTGGCTTTTTATCCAATTTGCCAGTCTGTGTCTTTTGATTGGTGCATTTAGCCCATTTACATTTAGGGTTAATATTGTTATGTGTGAATTTGATACTGCCATTTTGATGCTAGCTGGCTGTTTTGCACATTAGTTGATGCAGATTCTTCATTGTGTTGATGCTCTTTACCATTTCGTATGTTTTTGGAATGGCTGGTACTGGTTGTTCCTTTCTATGTGTAGTGCCTCTTTCAGGAGCTCTTGTAAAGCAGGCCTGGTGGTGACAAAATCTCTGAGTACTTGCTTGCTTGCAAAGGATTTTATTTTTCCTTCACTTATGAAGTTCAGTTTGGCTGGATATGAAATTCTGGGTTGAAAGTTCTTTTCTTTAAGGATGTTGAATATTGGCCCCCACTCTCTTCTGGCTTGTAGGGTTCCTGCCGAGAGATCTGCTGTGAGTCTGATGGGCTTCCCTTTGTGGGTGACCCAACCTTTCTCTCTGGCTGCCCTTAGCATTTTCTTCTTCATTTCAACCCTGGTGAATCTGACGATTATGTGCCTTGGGGTTGCTCTTCTTGAGGAATATCTTTGTGGTGTCCTCTGTATTTCCTGGACTTGAATATTGGCCTTCCTTGCTAGGTTGGAAAAATTTTCCTGGATAATATCCTGAAGAGTATTTTCCAGCTTGGATTCATTCTCTTTGTCACATTCAGGTACACCTATCAAACATAGATTAGGTCTCTTCACATAGTCTCACATTTCTTGGAGACTTTGTTCATTCCTTTTTGTGCTTTTTTTTTTTTCTTACCTTGGCTTCTCATTTTATTTCATTGAGTTGATCTTTGACCTCTGATATCCTTTCTTCTGCTTGGTCAATTCAGCTGTTGAAACTTGTGCATGCTTCGCGAAGTTCTCGTGTTGTGTTTTTCAGCTCCTTCAATTCACTCATATTCCTCTCTAAGTTGTCAATTCTCGTTATCATTTCCTCAAATCTTTTTTCAAATTTTTTTTCAAGGTTCTTAGTTTCTTTGCATTGATTTAGAACATGTTCTTTTAGCTCACAGAAGTTTCTCATTACCCACCTTCTGATGTCTGATTCCATATTTCATCACACTCATTCTCCATCCAGCTTTGTTCCCCTGCTGGTGTGGAGTTTTGGTCCTTTGTAGGATGCGAAGGGTTCTGGTTTTGGGTGTTTTCCTCCTTTTCGCGCTGGTTTCTTCCCATCTTTGTGGATTTATCCACCTGTCATCTGAGTGGTTGCTGATTTTCCTATTGGGTCTCTGAGTGGATGTCCAGATTGTTGAGGATGGAGTATTTCTGTTTCTTAGTTTTCCTTCTAACAGTCTGGCCCCACTGCTGTAGGACTGCTGAGGTCCACTCTAGGCCCTGCTTGCCTGGGGAACTCCTGTAGCGGCTGTGGAACCATGAGGGTTGCTACCAGATTCTTCTTTTGCTATCTTTGTCCCTGAATGATGCCCACCAAATGTCAGTCTGATCAGTCCTTTGTGAGGTGACTTTTTGGATATACGGGGGTCAGGCAGCTGCTTGAGGAGACGGTCTGTACTTTATAGGAACTCAAGTGCTGAGCTGTGAGCTCCATTGTTCATTCAGGGCTGCTAGGCAGGTACGTTTAAGTCTGCTGCAGCAGAACTCATAAAGCCCCTTTTTTTTTCCTCAGGTGCTCTGTCCCAGGGAGTTAGGGCTCCATTTATGAGTATCCGTTGCACTGTCCTGCCCAGCAATGGGGTAGTCTAATCACTGCTTGCCTGCAGTGGCTATGCTGAGCTGCCGTGGACTCCGCCCTGTTGCCATGGGCTCCACCCTGCGGCCGTGTGTAATTCCCTGTAGTCCTGTTTATATGAGTGTGCTCGCCTCTGTAGTGGCAGACTCTGTTATTGTAGGTTTCTCCGGCAACGGCGGGTTGCCTCGGCAATGGCCGGCTGCATCAGCAATGGCAGCGTAGCTCCACAGGAGTCGAGTGCCTCGGTAATGGCAGAAGCCCGTCTCCCTCCGAGCTACACTGTCCTGGGTTCTGCTGTGCATTCCGTGAAACTCTCAACCCCGAGCGTTTCCAATTGCTGTTTTGTTTGTTTTTGTGGGGGTGGAACCGCCGAGCCTGATCACCTGGCTCCCTGCCTCAGAGCCCTTTTTTTTTTTTTAAGTTGAGCAGTTGACTCTCTCCCAGGTGTTCCAGTCACCGGCTGCAAGGGCGCTGGGATCTGTGTGATTTCCCGTGCAGCGACCCACTGCGCCGGCTCAAACCACGTTGCTGCCCGGGAATCTCCTGGGCTGGCTTTCTGTTTAAGTCTCGTTTAATCAGATGAATGTGCTAATCTGCCTTCTGAAATCTCCAATCGCCAGTTAAACAGGGCAACCCAACCAGCATATTTTGTACAGAGTGTCGCTGCGCTGCGGCCCCAGCCGAAACAGCCATGCTGGCCCAAACAGCCGCGCTGGCTCAAACAGCCGCACCGGCCCAAACAGCCACACCAGCCCAAACTGCTGCATGGCCAGTGGGGCTCTTACACCTGGGAATCTCCTAGTCTGTGGACAATAAAGATCCATATGGAAATGCGGCATCCACTCACCCTCTGCGGATTGACTGGGAGCTGCAATCCTGAGTTGGTCTTCTCTCTTTTTTTTTAATGAGGACATATGTGTACTTATGTGTGTATGTGTGTGTATGTATGCATATCTCTATATATACACACTCATATGTGTATATATGTATAACCTTTAAAATGAAAAACAAATAGTAGTTATTACTTAAAATACAGTTAATACCAGTAAGTGAATCCCACTATTTTCAGGAAATATACTTTCTGAAACATACACATGTACACACATATATCTCTGTGCAACAACAAAAATGACACAAAATTTTAAAACTGACTAGTATGGTACCCTCAGAGCAATGTTTACTATTTTAATATTGAGAAAAATAAAATTAAGGTCTCAAAGTCATCCATTTATTAAACTGGTTTTCTCTGTTGGGAGGAAATAATAAGTAAAAAAGTTGAAAACTGTGGTCTGGACTTAAGTATAGACAAGTCATAAAGAAAGGACAAGCCCAGAAACAGATCTACGCATATACGTTCGCTTGATTTGCAATAAACATACCTCTGCAATTCATTGGGGGAAATTATGCTCTTTACAGTAAATGGCACAGGAGGGATTGATGGCTCTACGAGAAACATGAACCTTCATACTTTATATCTTTACAACAATTAATTGGAGATCAGTCATAGATCAATATATTGATGGAGGTGTTGGTTACATGCATACATACTTATGAATAACATCAAGATATACACTCGATCAGTGCAACTTAACCATATGTGTTATACCTCAATAAAAATGTGATTATATATGCATGCATATACATATGTGTACTTACACCAGGGCATACATACATACAGATAATTTTACACATCTTTCTACTCCAACTTTTATTTTAGGTTCGGGGTACATGCGCAGGATATGCAAGTTTATTACATAGGTAAACGTGGCCATGGTGGTTTAGTGCACAGACCCTCCCAGCCCTAGGCATTAAGCCTGGCATTCCATTAGCTATTCTTCCTGATGCTTTCCTTCCCCCACACCCTTCCTCCCAACAGGTCCCAGTGTGTGTTGTTCCCCACCATATACCCACGTGTTCTCATCGTCAGCGCCCATGTATAAGTGAGAACGTGCAATGTTTGGTTTTCTATTCCTGTGTCAGTTTGCCGAGGAAAATGGCTTCCAGCTCCATCCATGTCCCTGCAAAAGTTGTAATCTTGTTCCTTTTTATGGCGTCATAGTATTTCACAGTGTTTATGTATTTCACACATTTTCTTTTTGTTGTCCTTGTTTTTTAAGTGTTAAATACTCTTTATTTGATATTTCGCATAAACCACACTAAAATGCCTTTCAATAAGTAAAGGGAACCATTTTAAATAATGGGAATTCTAATTACATTGGCACAGTTAAGGCCAAAAATATAAAGTAGACATTGCTACCTTATCTTCAACCCTTGCCTTTAAGAGGCAAATAAACACAAAATACAGGTGAATCTTACTTGGTTCTGAGCAGTAAAGGAATTTCCCCAGTATTTAAATATATTCACATAACGAGTTATATAAATCTAAATATAAAACCGGTCTTCAATAAGTTTTAAGACGGCACTCAACATCTTTGAAAAGTTGAACATTATTAACAAAGTCTAATCATATCTTTAGAAGGGGCATACAGTGAAGGCATTTACTGAATTGGAATGACTTTTAAAATTCAAAACCCAAACGTACTCATTTAACCACAAGCCAGTCTTAGTTTTAAATCAGGACTGCCCAACAGTCAGTCATTGATGATCTGAATTCTGGTGTATGAGACCTATTAAATTACGGTACACAGAAAAGTCATGAGAAATTTCTCATGCTTTGTAATAAATAAGGCAGCGGCCAATGACTACTCACTAGCAGATTTTTTGAGATAAGCTATGAAGTCTGTCCTTTCTGCCTTCTTCTTAATGCTGTCGAAGATCATTTTTGTTCCAGGGATGTACTTCTCGGGATTCTCCGAATACTCCATCAGTGTATCCTCTCCCCAGGTGATGCTTTTGTTCTTATTGGCATCTGTGTAAGAAAATCCAATGGCCTGACCTGCCTTGCGCCTGAATAGACCATGGAGATTAGGCCCAGTCTTGCGCTTGCCTCCCTTTTCCACGGTGTGGCACTGGGCACACTTCTGAAGAAAAATTTTCCCGCCTTTCTCAACATCACCCATATTTAATTCTCTCTTTCGTCAATGGTGCTACAAAGGTTCCCGCTTGGAAGCCAGATGTCCCACTCCCTCTGTGTACTATATTTTCTTTATCCCTTCTATCATTGATGGCCATTTAGGTTGATTCCATGTCTTTGCTATTGTGAATACCGCTGCAATGAACGTGTGTGCATGCATGTATCTTTATAAGACGACAATGGTTTCTATTCCTTTGGGTATATGCCATGCGATGGGATTGCTGGGTCAAATGGTATTTCTACCTCTAGGTCTTTGAGGATTTGACACACTGTCTTCCAAAAGGGTGGAACTAATTTACACACCCACCAACAGTGTAAAAGCACTCCTTTTTCTCCGCAACCTTGCCAGCATATGTTGTTTTTTGGCTTTTTAATAATGGCCTTTCTGACTGGCATAAGATGGTATCTCATTGTGGTTTTGTTTGCATTTCTTTAATGATCAGTGAGGTTGAGCTTTTTTTTTTCATATTTTTGTTGACTGCACGTATGTCTCTTTTGTGAAGTGTCTGTTCATATCCTTTGTCCACTATTTAATGGTGGTTTTTTTCTCACAAATTGAAGTTCCTCGTAGACTCTGAATATCAGAGATCTCATTTGTCAATTTTTGCTTCTGTTGCAATTGCTTTTGGCATTTTCATTATGAAATCTTTGCTCATGCCTATGTCCTGGATGGCATGGCCTAGATTTTATTCTAGCGTTTTTACAGTTTGGGGTTTTACATTTAAGTCTTGAGTTAATTTTTGTATATGGTATAAGGAAGAAGTCCAGTTTCAGTTTTCTGCATATGGCTAACCAGCACTCCAGCACCATTTCTCCAATAGGGTGTCCTTTCCTCACTGCAAGTTTTTGTCAAGTTTGTTGAAGATCAGATAGTTGTAGGTGTGTGGTCTTATTTCTGAGTTCTCTATTCTGTTCCATTGGTCCATATGTCTGTTCTTGTACCAGTACCATGCTGTTTTGGATACTGTAGCCTTGCAGTACAGTTTGAAGTCAGGTAGCAGGATGGCTTCAGTTTGTTCTTTTTGCTTGGGATTGTCTTAGCTATTCAGGCTCTTTTTGTTGTTGTTCCATATAAATTTTAAAATAGTTTTCTTCCCCTAATTCTGTGAAGAATTTCAATGGTTGTTTAATGGGAATGGCCTTGAATCTATAAATTGCTTTGGGCAGTATGGCCATTTTCACAATATTTATTCTTTCTAACCATGAGCATGAAATGTTTGTCCGTTTTTTGTATGTATTCTCTGATTTCTTTGAGCAGTCGTTGGTATTTTCTGTTTGTTTTTCCTTTAACAGGCCACTCTCCATTCCAGTTTGCTGGGGGTCCATTCCAGTTTGCTGGGGGTCCATTCCAGTTTGCTGGGGGTCCATTCCAGTTTGCTGGGGGTCCATTCCAGTTTGCTGGGGGTCCATTCCAGTTTGCTGGGGGTCTATAGTTTGCTGGGGGTCTATAGTTTGCTGGGGGTCCATTCCAGTTTGCTGGGGGTCTATTCCAGTTTGCTGGGGGTCTATTCCAGTTTGCTGGGGGTCTATTCCAGTTTGCTGGGGGTCTATTCCAGTTTGCTGGGGGTCCATTCCAGTTTGCTGGGGGTCTATTCCAGTTTGCTGGGGGTCTATTCCAGTTTGCTGGGGGGTCCATTCCAGTTTGCTGGGGGTCCATTCCAGTTTGCTGGGGGTCTATTCCAGTTTGCTGGGGGTCTATTCCAGTTTGCTGGGGGTCCATTCCAGTTTGCTGGGGGTCTATTCCAGTTTGCTGGGGGTCTATAGTTTGCTGGGGGTCCATTCCAGTTTGCTGGGGGGTCCATTCCAGTTTGCTGGGGGTCCATTCCAGTTTGCTGGGGGTCCATTCCAGTTTGCTGGGGGTCCATTCCAGTTTGCTGGGGGTCCATTCCAGTTTGCTGGGGGTCCATTCCAGTTTGCTGGGGGTCCATTCCAGTTTGCTGGGGGTCCATTCCAGTTTGCTGGGGGTCCATTCCAGTTTGCTGGGGGTCCATTCCAGTTTGCTGGGGGGTCTATTCCAGTTTGCTGGGGGTCCATTCCAGTTTGCTGGGGGTCCATTCCAGTTTGCTGGGGGTCCATTCCAGTTTGCTGGGGGTCCATTCCAGTTTGCTGGGGGTCCATTCCAGTTTGCTGGGGGTCCATTCCAGTTTGCTGGGGGTCCATTCCAGTTTGCTGGGGGTCCATTCCAGTTTGCTGGGGGTCTATTCCAGTTTGCTGGGGGTCTATTCCAGTTTGCTGGGGGTCCATTCCAGTTTGCTGGGGGTCCATTCCAGTTTGCTGGGGGTCTATTCCAGTTTGCTGGGGGGTCCATTCCAGTTTGCTGGGGGGTCCATTCCAGTTTGCTGGGGGTCCATTCCAGTTTGCTGGGGGTCCATTCCAGTTTGCTGGGGGTCTATTCCAGTTTGCTGGGGGTCTATTCCAGTTTGCTGGGGGTCCATTCCAGTTTGCTGGGGGTCTATTCCAGTTTGCTGGGGGTCCATGCCAGTTTGCTGGGGGTCCATTCCAGTTTGCTGGGGGTCCATTCCAGTTTGCTGGGGGTCCATTCCAGTTTGCTGGGGGTCCATTCCAGTTTGCTGGGGGTCCATTCCAGTTTGCTGGGGGTCTATTCCAGTTTGCTGGGGGGTCCATTCCAGTTTGCTGGGGGTCTATTCCAGTTTGCTGGGGGTCCATTCCAGTTTGCTGGGGATCCACCTAAGTTTCTCCAATACCTGGAGCTATTACCAGTGAAAGCTGCAAACAGCAAAGACGGCAGCCAGCTCCTTCCTTTGGAAGCTCTATCCCAGGGGTATACTGACCAGTAGCCAACTTGCATGTACCTGCAGAAGGTGGCTGGAGACCCCTGTTGGGCGTTCTCATTCAGACAGGAGGTATGGGATCAGGGACCCATCCAAACAAGCAGTCTGGCTGCTTTTGGGTAGAGCAGGTGTGCTACATTCTGGGGACACTTCCTTCTCTAGAGCACCTGTATTCTCCAAAGCTAGCAGGCTGGAGTGGCTGAGTTGGCCAAACAGCAGAGATGGCAGCTGCTCCTCCCACCAGGAGCTCCATTTCAGGGAGAGATGAAATCTCTGTCCATAGAACCGTTGCTGGAGTAGTTAAAGCCCCCGTAGGGAGTCCTGCCCAGTGAGGAGTAATGAACTGGGGTCCTGCTTAAAGAAGCAGTCTGGTCACAATTAGCTGTGCTATGGGGAACTCTTTTTTGTCCAGATGGTCTGTATTCTCCATAGCTGGCAGGCTGGAGTGGCTGAGTCTATGAACCACAGTGATGCTGGCTGTGCCTCCCCAACTCCCGGGGAACTCAGACTCATCTGAGGCAGACTCCAACCCGCTGCTGTTGGCTGGCTAGGATTCCAAGCCAGTGGGTTTTAACTTGTGAGGTGCCATGGAAATGGGGCCTGCAGAATGACACTGCCTGCTCCCTGGATTCAGCCACCTTCCCAGAGTTATGTATGGACAAATTTCCTACTGTGCTGAAGATCCCAGGGGCTGGAGTATGTAAAACTCCTGGGTTTCTGTGTGTGCCTGGGCAGCTGATGTGCCGAGACTCCACACAGCTCTGTGTATCAGACCCAAGGCCCTGGTGGCATGGGCCCACAAGGGGATCTCCTGATCCACAGGTTGCAAAGATCCATGGAAGAAGCAGTTTCCTGGGCAGGACTGCACAATCACTCACGGCTTCCTTTGGCTGGGAGTGGGGATTCCTTTGGCTCCATGCTGCTCCCTGCTGGCCCGTTGCACCCTCTCTCCGCTTTCCTTTGTTCTCCATAGGTTGAGCTGTTCATTCAGTCAGTCCCAATGTGAGACTCTGGATATCTCAGTTGAAGGTGCTGAATTTACTTGCCCCTTTTCCTTCCTCTTCCTGAATACCATGGACTGCAGCTGCTTCTAATTGGCCATGTTGGATCACTCTAAACATTTCTTTTTTAGCCCTAGTTCTTAATTCCTATAGCCCTTGGTTTATCACCAGTTTCTTGATAAAATAATCGGTCCACATTCTCCAGTCATGGGATGATGACTCAGGTCAGGGATTCAGGCCATTTTCTGGGAAGCAGCTGAACTTGCGGCCTGTCCTGTTCAGACCTGAGCTAACACGCTGCAGAGAGGTATTCCTTCCACCTCTCAGCAACTGATGTCAGTCTTCAATAATTATATTTTTATTGAGGTATAATAAGTATTACAAATTACATAAAATTAAACAATGATCCTTTCACCTAGCATTTCACAGTAAACAGCATTATACGTTGGAAATTAATGTGGTCACCCACAGAGCCTAAAGCAGTATGCCCTGAATATAACTTAGCATTTCACAGTAAACAGCATTATACATTTGAAATTAATTTAGTCATCCACAGAGCCTAAAGCATTATGCCCTGAATATAATTTAGAATCTCAACCTAAGAATACACATTTTGGTCATAACATCCTGATCCTTCTTCCCTATGGTAGACTATCAAAAACGGCTATAATTTTTAAAAATTCCTTCCATCAAGTATTGGAGTTTATTTTCTACTTCTTGAATCCAGACTGGTAGTGTAATTTGCATCGTCCAGTAAAATGGGGTAGAAGGAATATACTAATTTTGAGCCTGGGCCTTAAGAGGATTTGCATTGTTTTGCTTGCTGCTTCTGGGACTCTTGCCTCTGCCATCATGTGAACAGGACTGAAGTAGCCTACTGGAGAATGAGAGAGCACATGGGGCCATTCAGCCAAGTCACGTTATTTTCTTTCCTTTCATTAAAAAAAATCTTTTTCCTTCATTCTTTAAAAATATTTTTAATTGATACATGATACTTGTTCATATTTATAAGGTAGATAGTGATATCTCAATACCTGTATACAATATATAATGATAAAATCAGGATAATCAGCATATCTATCACCTCAAATATTTACCATTATTTGTGTTGGGAATACTCAATCTCCTCTTGATTTAAAAATATATAATAAATTATTGTTAACTGTAGTTACCCTACAGCACTATAGAACTCCAGAACTTATCCCTATCTGTAAGCTTAAATCTGATATTTCTTTGTTGATTTACTGTCTAGATGATCTTTCCAGTGCTAAGCGTGGGCTATTAAAGGTCCCAACTATGACTGCATTGGAGTCTATCTTTCCCTTTAGATCTAATATTTCCCTTGTTTATCTGAGTGTTCTAGTGTTGGGTACATATATATTTACAATTATTATATCTTATTATGATCTTATAATGATCCCTTTATCATTATAAAATGACCTTTTTTCTCTCTTCATACAGTTTGACTTAAAGTCTGTTTTATCTTATATAACTACCCCTGCTGACTTTTGGTTTCTGTTTGCCTGGAATATTTTTTTCTATCCCTTCAGTTTCAGTCTGTGTACCTTTACAGGTGAAGTTAGTTTCTTGTTGGCCGTATATATTTGGGTCTTTTTTTTTTTTTTAATATTGGCAACCAACTCTATATCTTTTAATTGGAAATTTGATCTGTTTACATTACATTCAAAGTTATTATAAATAGATAAGCCTTTATCTTATCATTTTGTTCATTTTTTTCTGGGTGTTTTGTATATCCTTTGTTCTTTTCTTCCCATATATTTTTTTAAATCTTTGTGATTTTTTATAGTGATAAAGTTTGATTTCTCTTTCTTTTTCATGTGTGTATCTGCTCTACCAGTGAGTTTTATACTTTTGTGTTTTCACAATGGTAATCATCCTCTTGTTTCCAGATGGAGCACCACCTTAAGCAGACCTTGTAAGGCCAGTCTAGTGGTGATGAATTTCCTCAGTTTTTGCTTGTCTGGGAAACATTTTATTTCTCTCTCATTTCTAAGGGATAGCTCTGCTGGGTATAGTATTCTTGGTTGACAGTTTTTTTTTTTTCTTTTTCCTTTCAATACTTTGAATATATCATCCCATTTCATTGTCTACTGACCTGTAAAGTTTCCACTGGGAAACCCACTGTTAATCAAATGGATGTTCCCTTATATGTGACTTCTTTACTGTCATTTTTAATATTTTCTTTTTCTTTTTTTTTTTTTTTTGAGACAGTATCACTCTGTCACCCAGGCTGTAGTGCAGTGGTGTGATCTTAACTCACTGTAACCTCCATCTCCTGGGTTTAAGCAATTTTCGTGATTCAGCCTCCCAAGTAGCTGGAACTACAGGTGCATGCCACCACACTCAGTTAATTTTTATTATTAGTAGAAATGGGGTCTCTTCATATTGGCCATGGTGGTCTTGAACTCCTGGCCTCAAGTTACCCAGCCACCTCAGTCTTTCAAAGTGCTGGGATTATAGGTATGAGCCACTGCACTCGAACAATATTCCCTCTTTTTGACTTTTGACATTTTGACTATTATGCACCCCAGAGAAGATCTTTTTGGGTTGAATCTACTTGAGAACCTTCAAGCTTCGTAGATTTTGGCCATATCTCTCCCATGTCTGTTTTTAAAGCTCTTAATTTTTTTTTTTTTTTTTTTTTTTTTTGAGACAGGGACTTGCTCTGTGTCACCCAGGCTGGAGTTCAGTGATACAATCTTGGCTCACTGCAACCTCCACCTCCTGGGTTCAAGCAATTTTCATGCCTCAGCCTCCCAAGCAGCTGGGATTACACGCATGTGCCACCAAACCCAACTAATTTTTGTATTTTTTAGAGACAGGATGTTACCATGTTAATCAGGCTTGTCCTGAATGCCTGGCCTCAAGTGATCCACCATCTTGGCCTCCCAAAGTTCTGGGATAACAGGTGTGAGCCACTGCACCTGGACTCTTGATTGTATTTTTTATTTTATTCCTTAAATTCTTCAGCTCCAAGATCTCTGTCTGGTTTTTAATGACATATATATCTTTGTTGAATTTCTCAGAAGATCATAAATTATTTTTCTAATTTCATCAATATGTCTATCTGTATTCTCTTGTGTGTCATAGAGTTTTCTTAAGATCATTATTTTGAATTCCTTCTTAGTCATTTGATATACTCTTAAAATACAGGATCTGTTAATGGGAAATCATTGTGTTTCTTTGGAGGTATAATGTTCCTGCATTTTATGCTTCTTGTGGCCCTAAGTTGATTTTTGCACATCTAGGGAAACAGTTGCCTCTTCCAACATTAGGGAGCTTTCATAGAGAAATACGTTTTCCAATAGTTGTCTCCTATAGCGTTCATGAATAGGGTACTTTGACTTTGGTTTTTTTTTTTTTTTTTTTTTTTTTGAGGTGGAGTCTCACTCTGTTGCCAAGCTAGAGCACAGTGGTGCAATCTCAGCTCACTGCAACCTCCACCTCCTGGGTTCAAGCAATTCTCCTGCCTCAGCCCCCCAAGTAGCTGAGACTACAGGTGTGTGTCACCATGCCCAGCTAATTTTTTTAGTTTTAGTAGAGACAGAGTTTCACCATGTTGGCCAAGATAGTCTTGATCTTTTGACTTTGTGATCCGCGCACCTCGATCTCCCAAAATGCTGGGATTACAGGCGTGAGCCACTGCGCCTGGCCATACAGTCTTCATGTGACTTCTTTGGCTGTAATCAGTATTCAGTGGTGTCTCAGTCGGTGCCTCAGTGGCCTGATAGTGAGTTTGTGCAGACAGTGGTATGGCTTTTCTTGGGGTGGGAGCCATCATTCAGATTAGTTCTTAGGCACTAAGCATAGGCATGCTAGGTACAGTGGCTTTGCTAGTTGTGGGGTGTTGCCACCAGCAGGGTGGACACCAGGTAGGCCAGTCCTCAGGGCCTTAGAAGTGCATGCAGCATATGGCAGCTCTGCTGGTGAAGGGGGTGGGACTGTTGGTAGCAGTGGGTGCCAGATGGGACGGGCCTTGGGCCTTGGGGGTGTGCGTGTAGCATGCAATAGCTCTGTCCGTTGAGAGTGGCCAAGGCATTTTAGACTAGCCAGTCCTCAGATGACCCAGTAGCTGCCCACAGATACATGAATGAGCTTAGTTGAGATAGGAAATCCTTTCTGTGAGCACCCAAATTGGACAGTTAAGCCCATCCCAAATTCACAAACCATAGTATCATGAGCCAAATAAATAGTTGCTGTTATAAGTCAGTAAGTTTTGGGGTGGTTTGTAACCACTGGTACAATTGTAACTGGAATCAATCCATTATGAATTTTTTTACTTGAAAAAGAATACTGCCATTTCTGGGTCAATATTAAACTTATGACTACACAGTCTACATTCACTGAGAAATGAGTATTTGTCAGAGAAATATCCTTACCTCAATTGGGTTCCTATAGTAAGACCGCCTTCCAGAAGATGGAAATGACATAGCGATAATACGTTCTGAAAGTCAAAATCATCACTATTACAAACATTATTATAGATTTCAAATAACATACAAAAAATTAATTTATATGTAATCAGACTCCATTTTCACAGAAAAAAAACTTTTAAGATTGAGGTTGACAGAAAAGAGCTAATACTCAGGATAATAAAATAACATATTAAATTATACAACATAATGACCATGAAACTGGCAAGGTGTTCTTCAGACTCTACAGGTTCTAACCATATCCCGTGTACTTATGCTGGCCTCATTCTGAAGATCCTCTTGTTCTTAGAATTTATTTCTTATCTTAAATACCGAGAAGATCCAAGAGTTCTGGGCACCAGTGATGGTGGGAACTCTCAAAGTGCTCTGCAGCCCTCTGTCTCAGAAAACCTGAGATCTACAAAGCAGTAACCACATTCTCTGGGGTTCTAGGAAGAGAAGAGGTCTCTCTGGGATCCTTGGGACTTAGAATAACTACTAGAGCTTAATAAATTTAAACTCGAATCGAGACAGCCGAAAATCCATTCAAGTTCCTGTGGTGCAACCAAGTAGTTGTGAATTGAAATGACATGGAAATCTTCCATTGCCAGGGCTAAACCACAGACATGTCACACTACCACAGTGGCATGTATCCTCATGAATAAAGAATACTTTGAGTAGTGAATGTGGCTTAGACAAGGCAAAAACAAAATAAAAATATGATTACAAGAAAAAGTGAAGTAATACAAGTAAATCAACAGTTAATTGTTACAAACCAGTGACATAAGTGAGGTCTAGGTCAAATCCATTCCTTACATATCGCCTTTTGTTTTCTGAAACCTGAGAGTTTAAAACCATCATTAGTTTGTGAAACATTTATCAACATAAAAATAAAGAACATTATACAGTATAGATATTGACCCTTGCCAAGAGGTCCCAAAACACAAAATATTTTACTAAATCATAAGCATGTTTTGCCCACTTACCAGCCTTCTGATCAGCTTTTCAAGTTGTCTTTTTTGATGAACCAGATGAACAATTCTTGTCAGAATAATAAGTCGTAGATGTCGAACTACAGGTGTCCATCTAACGATAAATTTAAAACATCAATTTTTTGCTTCAGAAACAGAATTTTATCAATATAAACTATGTCTAGAGCAGCAGTTGTTAACCAGGGACAATTTCCCTCCTCTCCTCATTTACCCACCTGGGGGATATTTGGCAATGTCTTCAGGCATTTTTGGTTTTCACAACTGGGGTGTGGGTGTGTTACATCTAGTGGATAGAGGCCAGTAATTCTGCTAGACACCCTGTAATTAATATAACTGCTCACCACCCTCTTACGACAATGATCTCGCCCAAAATGTCAGTAATGCTGAGGCCGAGAAATTTGGGTCTGAGTCAATAGACTTAGAATTTGTAAATTTAATTTTGGGTTTAAAACTAGTATTTTCAATTTCCACATAAAAACAAATCGAGAATTCTTGTTCATCTCTGTTACTCCCATGAGTAACAGGGGTTCACTACAGCTGCTCATGCACATCAGGCAGGCAACAGATTGAGGTACCTCCCAAGTGTGCGAGCTGGCGTCTCTCCTACCATAAGAAACACCAAAGCAGAGAACTGATGGTCTGGGCTAGTGCTTCTCTAATTTGGGCACACATAAATAAGAGCCATCTGAAAAAGCCTGTTAAGCTACAGATTGCAGGGTCCCAGAGATACTGATTCAGTGGGTCCAAAGTGGGGCCTAAGGTATTTTTCTTCTCGTATTTCTAGTAAGCTCTCAAGTGACGCTAAGGTTTCTAGTCAGAGGATCACACTAGCTCAAGTTATTTTCAAATAACTCCAAAACCCCATTACTTAACATGCTTGGTTGGGGCCTGAGTTGGTCTAGGGAAGCTAGGGTACAGAAAGAAACTAGCTATTTGACCCATGAACAAGCTTAGGAAGCCACCACCTACATCCCGGTACACATTTGCTCTTCCATTTTCCTCACTGTCACAGTAAAAAAAGAAGAAAAAAGTCACCAGGTCCTCAAACCCTCTTTAGTTTCCTAATCCCTAACAGTTCTAACTTTGTGTTAGCTTTCTTTGTTTCTACCACAACTATACGGCAAAACTCTACCATTGTGTTGCTATACATCTCATCTCCTAGTTTTCTGTTCTGTCTGCTACTTTTTGAAGAAACTCATGATTGAAGTCACTCGAATTTTGCATATACTCAAATAAATTTCCGCTTGGCTGTAGGAAAAATCCAGACAGAACATTATGTGTAAGGGATTTGTAGTTGAAGCACAGAGAGGAATTGTTTTTAATATAGATTTTTTTTTTATGTACCAGTTATTAAACTGATAAGAATATCACACTTGATCTGAGCCAAAAGGCTGAAAAACGATAAAAATGGGAATATGATGAGAAGTTAAAGTTAGTACAGGAGGTAAGAGTCCTTCTTTGGGCACTCCATCTGCTTTATTCAATTAATGGTACTTAGTGTGTATACTCTTCACTGCTCCCTAAATATCACAATCTTTTTGTGTCAAAGTATGTGGGACTTTACCGAAACATTTTTTAAAGCAATGTGTTTGGTATAGAATGAGAACATTTGAAGTTTGAAAAGATGACATAGAATAAAAGCCACAGAAAATGCAAAAAATTAATGAAAAACTATAAGACAGGTAAGTCTTATGTTTCATACCTGGGAATATCACTAAGAAACTTAAAGTCAAAAAAAATGTAAATGACATCAGTCAGCAGAGTAATCACAATAATGGCAATATCTAAAATGTTACATAAGCCAGAAAAATAATGCTGTCTCCTGTAATATAAGACAAAAAAAATAAGTTAATTTCTCCTGCAAGAAGAGACAGGAATATTTAAAGACCACAAACTATTGACTCATCCCCATTAAGAATTCTACTTTTTCTGAGTTATTTAAATGTTAGACTAAGGGAAAAATATAACATTCATGGGAAATTTACAAACAATAAATTTATATTCATCATTTGACACATATATATGACTAAAGCACCAATATGGCAATTTAAATACAGCAAGAGATATAACTAAATGTGTACTAATCACCCTTATTGTGGACAATGGGGTATATATCCCCTCAAGCATTTATCATTCATGTTACAAACAATTCAGTTATACTCTTTCAGTCATCTAAAAATGTACAATTAAGTTATTCTTGACTGTGGTCAGCCTGTTGTGCTATCAAATACTAGATGTTATTCATTCCTTCCACTTTTTTGTACCCATTAACCATCCCCACCTCCCCACCCCCAAACCCCTACTATTCCCAGCCCCTCTGATGATCATCCTTCTACTCTCTCTGAGTTCAATTTTTTCTTTCTTTCTTTCTTTTTTTTTTAGAGCTCACAAATAAGTGAGAACATGTGACGTTTGTCCTTCTGTGCCTGGTTTATTTCACTTAACATAGTGATCTCCAGTTCCCTCCATGTCGTTGCAAATGACAGGATCTCATTCTTTTTTATGGCTAAATAATACTCTCTTGTGTATACGTACTATATTTTCTTTATCCATTCGTCTGTTGATGGACACTTAGGTTGCTTTTAAATCTTAGCTATTGGCTGGGCATGGTGGCTCAGGCCAGTAATCCCAGAACTTTGGGTGGCCAAGGTGGATGGATCATGAGGTCAGGAGATTGAGACCATTCTGGCTAACACAGTGAAAACCTGTCCCTACTAAAAATACAAAAATTAGCCAGGCTTGATGGTATGTGCCTGTAGTCCCATCTACTCAGAAGGCTGAGGCAGGAGAACCACTTGACCCTTAAAGGCAGAGGTTGCAGTGAGCCAAGTTCGTGCCACTGCACTCCAGCCTGGGTGACAGAGAGAGATTCTGTTTCAAAAATAAATAAATAAATAAATATAAATAAATCTTAGCTATTATGAACAGTGCTACAACAAATATGGGAATGCAGATATCTTTTTTTTTTTTTTAAGATGGAGTTTTGCTCTTGTTGCCCAGGCTGGAATGCAATGGCATGATCTTGGCTCACTGAAACCTCTACACCTCCTGGGTTCAAGCAATTCTCCTGCCTCAGCCTCCTGAGTAGCTGGGATTACAGGCATATGCCACCATGCACGGCTAATTTTGTATTTTTAGTAGAGGTGGAGTTTCTTCATGTTGGTCAGGCTGGTCTTGAACTCCCAACCTCAGGTGATCTGCCAGCCTCGTCCTCCCAAAATGCGGGGATTACAGGCATGAGCCACTGCATCCGGCCATCTCTTTTATATACTGGTTTCCTTTCTTGTGGGTATATACCCAGCAGTGGGATTGCTAGGTCATATGATAGCTCTATTTTTACTTTTTTGAGGACCCTCCAAACTGTTCTCCACAGTGGTTCTACTAATTTACATTTCCACAAACAGTGTATGAGGGTTCTCTTATCTTCACGTCTTTGCGGGCATTTGTTATTGCCCGACTTTTGGATATAAACCATTTTAGCTGGGGTGAGATGATATCTCATTGTAGTTTTCTACACTGATAATTTCTCTAATGATCAGTAATGTTAAGCACCTCTTCATATGCCTGTTTACCATCTGTATGTTTTGAGAAATGCCTATTCAAATCTTTTGCTCATTTAAAAAATTAATTAGATTTTTTTCCTATAGAGTTGTTTGACCTCCTTATATATTCAGGTTATTAATTCCTTGTCAGGTGGGTTGTTTGCAAATATCTTCTCCCATTCTGTGGGCTGTCTCTTCACTTTGTTAATTGTTTCCTATGCTTTGAAGTTTTTAATTTGATGTGATCTCATTTGTCCATTTTTGCTTTGGTTGCCTGTGCTTGTGGGGTATTGCCCAAGTAATTTTTGCTCAGACCAATGTCCTGGAGATTTCTCCCAGTGTTCTCTTGCAGTAGGTTCATTGAGGTCTTAGATTTAAGTCTTTAATCCATGTTGATTTGATTGTTGTATACAGTGAGAGGTAGGGGTCTGGTTGTAGTCTTCTGCATGTGTATATTCAGTTTTCCCAGAACCATTTGTTGAAGAGACTGTCTTTTCCTCAATGTATGTTCTTGTCACATTTGTTGAAAATGAGTTCACTGCAAGTGTGTGGATTTGTTTCTGGGTTCTCTATTCTGTTCCATTGGTCTATGTGTCTGTTTTTATGCCAGTGCCATGCTGTTTTGCTTACTATAGTTCTGTAGTATAATTTGATGTCAGGTAATGTGATTCCTCCAGTTTTGTTCTTTTTGCTTAGAATGGCTTTGGCTATTCTGGGTCTTTTGTGGCTCCATATAAATTTTTAAATTATTTTTTTCTATTTTTGTGAAGAATGTCATTTGTATTTTGACAGGGAGTGCACTGAATATGCAAATTGCTTTGGATAGTATGAATATTTTAACAATATTGATTCTTCCAATCTATGAACATGGAATCTCTTTCAATTTTTTGGTGTCCTCTTCAATTTCTTTCAACAGTGTTTTATTGTTTTCATTATAAAGATCCTACACTGCTTTGGTTAAGTTACTTCCTAGGTATTTAATTTTATTTGTAGCTATTGTATATAGGACCACTTTTTAGATGTCCTTTTCAAATGGTTTGCTGTTGGCATATAGAAGTGCTACTGATTTTTGTGTGCTGATTTTGTATCCTGCAACTTTACTGAATTTACCAATCTCATAGTTTTTTGGGGGAGTCTTTAGTTTTTTCCAAATAAAACATACTATCTGCAAACATAAGGACAATTTTACTTCTTCCATATCAATTTGGATTTCTGTTCCCTTTATTTCTTTCTCCTCTATGATGACTCAAGCAAGGACTGCTGGTACTATGGTGAATAACAGTGGTGAACTCATTGTGTTCTAAATCTCAGAGGAAAGCTTTTCAGTTTTCCCCCATTCAGTTTGATATTGACTGTGGAAATCTGACTGTATAAATGGCTTTTATGTTGAGGTGTGTTACTTCTATACCCAGTTTTTTTAGATTGTTTATCGGGAAGGAATGCTGAATTTTATCAGATACTTTTTCAGCATCAACTGAAATGATCCTATGGTTTTTATCCTTTATTGCATTGATATGATATATCGCATTGATTGATTTGCATATGTTGAACAATCCTTGCATCGTGGGGATAAATCCCACTTGTCATGATGAAACTTTCCCAAATATTGTTGAATTCCGTTTTCTAGTATGTTGTTGAGGATTCTTGCATCAATATTTATCAGACATATTGGCCTTTTTTGTTTGTTTTTTGAGACTGAGTCTCACTCTGTCACCCAGGCTGGAGTGCAGTGGCGTGATCTTGGCTCACTGCAACCTCTGCCTCCCAGGTTCAAGTGATTCTCCTGCCTCAGCCTCCCAAGTAGTGAGGATTACAGGCACATACCACCACACCTAGCTAATTTTGTATTTTTAGTAGAGAAACAATTTCACCATATTGGCCAAGTTGCTCTTGAACTCCTGACTTCAGGTAATCCACCTGCCTTGGCCTGCCAAAGTGTTGCGATTACAAGCGTGAACCATTGCACCTGGCCTGTCTTCCTTTTCTGATGCATCTGTGTCTGCTTTTGGTATCAGGGTAATACTGACCTTGTGGAATGAGTTTGGAAGTATTCCTTCCTCTTCTGCTTTCTGGAAGAGCTTAAGCAGGATTGGTGTTCATTCTTCTTTAAATGTTTGGTAGGATTCAGCAGGGAAGCCATTGGGTCTCAGTGCATATGTTGGATATAAGTATATGTGTTGGGTACATACATACTTAAAATTGTGATAGCCTCTTGCTGAACTGATTCCTTTATCATTAAATAGTAACATTCTTTGTCTCTTCTTATCATTTTTGTCTTGAGATCTATTTTATCTGATATAAGGATAGCTACTCCTGCTCTCTTTTGGTTTCTCCTGGAATGAACTACATCTTTGCATCTCTTTATTTTCAGTCTATGTGTGTCTTTATGGGAATACAGTGTTTCTTGTAGGCAGCAGATCATGGGTCTTGTTTTTGTTTGTTTGTTTGTTTTGAGATGGAGTCATGTTCTGTTGCCAGGCTGGAGTGCAGTGGTGCGATCTTGGCTCACTGCAATCTCTGCCTCCTGGGTTCAAGTGATTCTCCTGCTTCAGCCTTCTGAGTAGCTGGGACTACAGGTGTGCTCCACCACATCTAGCTAATTTTTGTATTTTTAGTAGAGACGAGGTTTCACCATGCTGGCCAGGATGGTCTCTATCTCTTGACCTTGTGATCTACCTGCCTCGGCCTCCCAAAGTGCTGGGATTACATGCATGAGCCACCGCACCTGGCCGGGGCTTGTTTTTTCGTCCAACCAGCCACTCGGGCACTTAATTAAAAAGTTTAGTCCAGGTCTGCAACTCGAGCCAAGAAAGTGACGATGGCCACCAAATCATGTCCCTGTGGTTACATATTTATTAGCAGAAAACTTTTAAATGCAAAACACTCAGAGAAATCACCACCTTCTACAGAAAACAAGCATGAGGCCAAGAGGAGGCGAAGAGAGAGAGTTAGGAGGGAGAAGATAAATTCTACAGTAAAGATTTAGAAAACAGAAAGAGGTCTCAAAGTAACAGCCATTCAGATCATATCAGACGAGAAAGAGGAAGACCTAAAAGTGCATCTGCCAAAAAACATGAGGAAGAAAGAGAGAAACAGGAAAAGGAAATTGACATCTATGCTAACCTGTCTGATGAAAAGGCTTTCGTGTTTTCAGTCACCTTGGCGGAAATAAATAGAAAAATTATCAATCAAAGACTTATTCTCTGATACTTGTCTGCAAAATATGCTGAAACTTCCGTCAGGATTACATCAGCACAGTTGTGGACTCTCGGGAGCATTCTGACTGCATCAATAAGGGCCATTGATTGTTCCTTTCTCTCCTGTCCTTTAGCCTGTGCCACACTTTGGGAGCAAAGCTGTTTAGGCTTGGACTGTTCTGGGATTTCCTTGTTTACCAAGGAGTATTGTCCGTGTTTTGTGTTTGGGATATAAGTAAGTGTATTTGCCAAAAAAAAAAAAAAAAAAAGCGCTGGACAGATGTTAAAGGATAAAAAGTGATGGGGTCTGGGTTAGGTATGAAAACTAGGGGAGTAAGATGCTTGATTGTTTTCAGCTTTGCCAGAGATGCAATGTTTTAAATACTGTCAGAAAGAGTGATTTTTAAACATATATATTTCAGATTTTCAGTGCTAACAGATGGTATATATACAGTTTATTTACTTTTAGTAAATTGGCAATTGATATTTTATTGAATGGGGAATTAAGAATATAAACTGTAAATTTTGTCTTAAATTGATTTTTTTTCTTGCCCTTTATTTTTATTACTTAATGTGTGAGTTATATTTTAGGAGATAGTTTCTAGACAGTTTGAAGTTTGGGTGCTATATGAAGAAAAACATTAAATGATATACTCAGATATAAACACCTTGTTTTCTTGAATATAATTTATTTATTAGTTAAAAAAGAAAACTTCTGCTCTCAAGACGGTGCCTGTTAAGCTAAACATGAAATATATTTATTACATGCAAAATATTTCTTAGCCACTTTTAAGCAGTAATGTTTTATCTGAATGGATGTTCATTTATACATACTGATAATTATTTAAATTCTTACTTTACTTTTACTTGAAGAAAAAATAAATGTTAATACTAAAACTAAGTAAAAAAAAAAAGTTTAGTCCACTGACATTCTATGTTGTTATTATAACTTACTCCTGCCATTTTGTTATTTGCTTTCTGGTCTTCTCTTCCTTCTTTCCTTCCTGTCTTCCATTAGGGAAAGTAATTTTCTCTGGTGATATGATGAGTTTCTTGTTTTTTATTTTTTGTGTATCCATTGTGTGTTTTTTGGTTTGAGGTTACCATGAAGCTTGCAAATACTATCTTATAACCCATGATTTTAAGCTTATTATAACACTGTTTGCATAAACAAGTAAAAAGAAAATTAATAAAAACTCTACAAATTAACTTTGTCTACCTACTTTTTAACTTTTTATTATTTCTATTTATATCTTATACTATGTCTTGAAAAGTTGTTGTAGTTGATATATTTGATCGGCTCATAGTTTAGTCTCTATTTAGAATAAAAGTAGTTTATACATCATAGTTACAGTGTTATAACATTCTGCATTTTTCTGTGTCTTTACTGTTACCAGTGAGTTTTATACTTTCAGGTGGTTATTTATTGCTCATTAATGTCCTTGTGTTTCTGACTGAAGTACTCCCTTTAGCATTTCTTCAAGGATAGGTCTGGTGTTGGTGGAATCCCTCATCTTTTGTTTGTGTGGAAAAGTCTTTATTTCTTCTTTACTTTGAAGGATCTTTTCACTGGATATACTGTTTTTGGGTAAATGTTTTTTCCCTTCAGCACTTTATTTTCTTTTTTTGAGACGAAGTTTCGCTCTTGTTACCCAGGCTGGAGTGCAATGGCGCGATCTCGGCTCACCCCAACCTCCGCCTCCTGGGTTCAGGCAATTCTCCTGCCTCAGCCTCCTGAGTAGCTGGGATTACAGGCACGCGCCACCATGCCCAGCTAATTTTTTGTCTTTTTAGTAGAGACGGGGTTTCATCATGTTGACCAGGATGGTCTCGATCTCTTGACCTCATGATCCACCAGCCTCGGCCTCCCAAAGTGCTGGGATTACAGGCGTGAGCCACCGCGCCCGGCCTCCTTCAGCACTTTCAATATGTCATGCCACTCTTCCTGGCCTGCAACGTTGGTACTGAAAAGTCTGCGGCCAGCCGTGTTGTGCCTCCACTGTATATTACTGGTTTCTTCTCTCTTGCTGCTTTATCCTTGATCTTTGGGAATGTGATTATTCAATGCCTTGAGGTGGTGTTTGAGTTGCATCTGCTTCATGTTTTATAAATTTCTTGTACTTGGATATTGGTATCTTTCTGTAGGTTTGGGAAGGTCTGTTACTAACCCTTTGAATAAACTTTCTACACCCCCCTCTACCTCCTCTTTAAGGCCAATATTGTTTAGATTTGCCCATTCAAGGTTATACTCTAGATCCTGTAGGCACGCTTCCCAGGGCTTGTTTGTACCCATCTTTATTGAGAAGGCTTTCCAGATATTGGAAAGAACTTGGATATTGTGATCTAAGCTGTATCTGCTTTAGGGGGAACCCGAGCCTCCGAAACTCTGTGGTTCTTGCAGATCCATAGTGGTACTGCCTTAATGGTCTTGGACAAGATCCAGGATAATTCTCTGGATTACCAAGAGACTCTTGTTCTCTTCCCTTAGTTTCTCCCACACAGAGTCTCTCTCTCTCTCTCTGTTCTGGCCACCTAAAGCTTGAGGGTGAGTGACACAAGCACCCACTATAATGACTGCATTGGGTCAGACCTGAAGCCAGCACAGCACTAGGTATTGCCCAAGACCTGCTGTAACCACACCCTAGCTATTGCATAAATTTGCTGAAGGCCCTGGGGCTTTACAATCACGTGGTGAAAAACAGCCAGGCCTGTGTCCTTCCCTTCAGGATGGCAAGTACTTCCAGGCTGTGGGTGGGTCCAAAGGTGCTGTCTGGGAATCAGGGCCTATATCAAAAACTTTAAAAGTCTACCTGGTGTTTGATTGTGCTATAGCTAAGCTGTCACTCAAACCACAAGATACAGGCCCTCCCATTCTTTCCACCCCTCTCCAAAGGCAGAGGAGCATCAATGGGTGGCCACATCAAACAGAGCCATGGGGGGTATTGCCAGCCTACCGCCGATGTTCTCATGAGGCCCAAAGGCTCTTGGGTCAGCTTGTGGTGGATGGTCCTGTAAATTATTTTCAAATGCCTTTTTTTTGCGGTGGGGGAGAGGGAGGGTAGAGTCTTGGCCTGTCACCGAGCTGGAGTACAATGGCACGACCTCAGCTCACAGCAACCTCCACCTCCCAGGTTAAAACAATTCTCCTGCCTCAGCCTCCCAAACAGCTGGGATTACATGCACCTGCCACCCTACCCAGGTAATTTTTGGATTTTTAGTAGAGACGAGGTTTCACCATGTTGTCCAAGACGGTATCGAACTCCTGACTTTGTGATCCTCCCGCCTCAGCCTCCCAAAGTGCTTCTTATAAAAGTACAAAATAACTTTGTGCAGTATAAAAAATAATCAAACTTACCCATCAACAAATACTCGAAGAAGAATATCCATGAGAAAAAATATGGCAATAGATGGAGAAATACAACGATATTCCAAAGGCATATAAATTTTCTTTTCAGCAAAAATTAGGTCGGCAAAGATGAGACCCACATTCAATAAGAGCAGGCAAACTCCAAATATTCTAAAATAAATGCATAAGCAAGGAAGTAAATAAAAGTAAAGATAGAGGGGCTTTTGTCCCGATAGTTATACTATATTTAGGCCAATGATTGGGCACCAAAATGATATTATTTAGTATTAAACTGCCCAGTGCCAGGAAAAACTGTAATGCCTTAGAACCTCAGGAAAAATCAGTTTTCACCCAACAGAAGCAGTTCTTAATAAAACTCCCACCAAACTGGTTCACAAGATGTTATCATGCTCTTTTATAGCAGACATATCAGACTGATACTTCAAAAGAGAAAAATAAAACTGAACTAAAATTACCTGTCTGTTTGTAAACTCTTCCTAAAATTTGAGAATTTTTATAAGAAGTTTATATGAATTTCTCATAAAAAACAAAATCTCATTAATCTGGATAATTCTTAAGAATGTATTAATAAAAACCAAATGAAAGCATGAGTAACATAAACACTTAAAAGACCAAGTTTTTTGTCAGTGACATTTTCAACAAGTATATAATTACATATTTACGGGTGCTTCTAACACAGTGACGGGTACATGAGAAAGAATTCAATTCCATAAATATTTATAGTATTGGACTCTAAAGTACCTACTGACACTTGCTGTTACATATTCTAAATACATTCCCCACAAATTGATTATACTATTTGCCTAATCTATGAAGATGAATTAGTCTTCAAAGTACTTTTGAAAAAAATTACAATATTATTAATTCAAAAGGAAACAGTTATATTGCATAAATCTGTATCATAGTATAAAATCTTACTCTTATGTAGAGAAGAGTCTAAGTAAATTGTGATAGAATTAAAGAGTAATTCTAGATGTATAAGGTACTTAATAAAACACTTTACTTATAGAATTTTAACACTGGGTTTTCATTAACATTACCTTTGCAGATGGAGGAAAAACAATATTAATATGTTACTATTAATCTTAGGCAAAAGCCATTTCTTTGCAAGTTTTAATGTCCAGCTTAAACCAAAATTCCATCATAAATTAGATTACATTAGATAGGGCACATGGCTACTTAGCAATTGGTGGACATGGAAATGCTTTTTGGTTTCAGAGACTTAATATTTCAATGAGAGACAGAAAAAGAAAAAAACAGCATTTCCATATCCACCGATTGCTAAGTAGCCATGTGCTTTATCTAATGTAATACATATACATATATGTGTATATATGTATATATATGTAATATGTATATATACATGTATATATATATATATATTTTGGAGATGGAGTTTCACTCTGCCACCCAGGCTGCAATGCAATGGCATGCTCTCAGCTCACTGTAATCTCTACTTCCCAGATTCAAGCAATTCTTCTGCCTCAGCCTCCTGAGTAGCTGGGATTACAGATACCACCATCATGCTCGGCTAATTTTTGTATTTTTAGTAGAGATGGGGTTTCAAGGCTGGTCTTGAACTGCTGACCTCAGGTGATCCACCTGCCTTGGCCTCTCAGAGTGCCAGGATGATAGGCGTGAGCCACCGCATCCAACTCAAATATATTTAATACATGGTATTTTTTATGTATTAAGTCTCAGATATATTTAATACAAGGTGTTTTTTATGTCTCACATACCCAAATGCAAAGGATGATACAATTGAGTGTGCTATTTTCTTAATCTTGCTGCTGCAAAAAGAAGTAAAAATAAAAATAATCAGATTTCTTCTAACATATATTATAAATTTAACCAAAAACAAAGGCCTTTTTCCTTTTTTTTTTTTTCCATTTTGTGGAGAACGGGGTCTCGCTATATTGCCCAGGCAGGTCTTGAACTCCTGGGCTCAAGCTATTCTCCTGCCTCTGCCTCCCTAACAGCTGGGATTACAGGTGTGAGCCACAGCACCCGGCACAAAGGCCTTTATAAATACAATTTTAAAAGAAAATTATTCAAAAGTTATGTAACAAAATGCTTTTAAATTACTATTATACTTTCAGTTCTGGGGTACATGTGTACAACATGCAGGTTAACAAACCTTGTAGGTATACATGTGCCATGGTGGTTTGCTGCACCCATCAACCTGTCATCTACATTAGGTATTTCTCTTAATGCTATCCCTCCCCTTGCCCCGCATCTGCTGACATGCCCTGGTGTGTGATGTTCCCCTCCCTGTGTCCATGTGTTCTCATTGTTCAACTCCCACTTATGAGTGAGAACATGTGGTGTTTGGTTTTCTGTTCTTACATTAGTTTGCTGAGAATGATGGTTTCCAGCTTCATCCATGTCCCTGCAAAGGACATGAACTCCTCCTATTTTATGGCTGCAGAGTATTCTATGGAGTATTATGTGCCACATTTTCTTGATCCAGTCTATCATTGATGGGCATTTGTGTTTGTTCCAAGTCTTTGCTATTGTGAACAGTGCTGCAATAAACATACATGTGCATGTGTCTTTATAGCAGAATGATTTATAATCCTTTGGGTATATACCCAGTAATGGAATTGCTGGGTCAAATGGTATTTCTATTTCTAGATCCTTGACGAACTGCCACACTGTCTTCCACAATGGTTGAACTAATTCACACCCCCACCAACAGTGTAAAAGTGTTCCTATTTCTCCACTTCCTCTCCAGCATTTGCTGTTTCCTGACTTTTTGATGATTGCCATTCTAACTGGCATGAGACAGTATCTCATTGTGGTTTCGATTTGCATTTCTCTAATGACCAGTGATGAGCTTTTTTTCATATGCTTGTCGGCTACATGTCTTCTTTGGAGAAGTGCCTGTTCATATCCTTTGCCCACTTTTTGATGGGGTTGATTTTTTCCTGTAAATTTGTTTAAGTTCTTTGCAGATTCTGGATATTAGCCCTTTGTCAGATGGATAGATTGAAAAAATTTTTCCCATTCTGTTGGTTGCCTGTTCACTCTGATGATAGTTTCTTTCGCCATGCAGAAGCTCTTTAGTTCAATTAGATCCCATTTTCTATTTTGGCTTCTGTTGCCATTGCTTTTGGTGTTTTAGTTGTGAAGTCCTTGCCCATGCCTATGTCCCGAATGGTGCTGCCTAGATTTTCTTCCAGGGTTTCTATGATGTCTGTTCTTATGTTTACATCTTTAATCCATCTGGAGTTAAATTTTGAATTAGGTATAAGGAAGGAATCCAGATTCCCCTGCCTCGGCCTCCTGAGTAGCTGGGACTACAGCCGTGCACCACCACGCCTGGCTAATCTTTTTTTTATTTTCAGTAAAGATGGGGTTTCACCATCCGCCCACCCCAGCCTCCCAAAGTGCTGGATTACAAGCATGAGCCACTGCGCCCAGCCTAAGCCCTGTTTAACTAAAGATAAGAGATCCATCAATGGCTCCCTCCTTTCAAACTTCAAAGTGACTTACTCATATGCAGTAACATCAGTGCCTTCTTCATCTTCAAACCTGGAAAGTTGTTCTGCCATACTTTAGCCACCAAAAAATGCAAAAATATATTATTAGATATTTGCTACACAAAACAGTGATGAAGAATTTATTTGAATAACAAGAATCTGAATCTAAGGATACAGTAAACATAACTTAGCTCACTGGAAGACCTAATATCTAAGAAAGAAAACTATAATATGTATACAGATAGAGAATATATAAATAATGTGTGTATAGACGTATCTCAAAGACTTTGTGGGTTTCATTCCAGACCACTGCAATAAAGCAAAAACTGCATTAAGTGACTCATACAAATGTTTTGGTTTCCCTATACATATGAAAGTTATGTTTATACTACACTGTAGTCTGTTAAGTGTGTAATGGCATTATATCTAAAAAAATTACATACATACCTTAATTTAAAACTACTTTATTGGTTTAAATATGCTAATGATCACCTGAGCCTTTAGTGAGTCATAATCTTTTTGCTGGTGGAGGGCGCTGCTTCCATGTTGATGGCTGCTGACTGATCAGAGTGGTGGTTGCCAATGGTTGGGGTGGCTGAGGCAACTTCTAGTAATATTTACTTTATATATATGGGCGTTCTGGTGTTGAGTGCATACAAATTTATAATTATAAACATATTACAATTATATCTCTCACTAAATTGAACCCTTTATTATTACATAACAATCTTGTTTGTCACTTTTTATGGTTTTTAATTTGAAGTCTGTTTTGTCTGATATAAGTATAGCTATTTCTGTTCACTTTTGGCTTCTGTTTGCATGGATATCTTTTTCCTTCCCTTCATTATCAGTCTATGTGTTTCTTTACAGGTAAGGTGAGTTTGTTTTAGATAAAATATAGTTGGGTCTTATTTTTCAATCCACTCAGCAAGTCTATATCTTTCATGGGGTATGTAATCTATTAACATTCAAAGTTACTAATGGTAGGTGAGGAGTTACTTCCAACATTTTACTATTTTCTGGTTGTTTTGTATACGTTTTGTTCTTTTCTTCCTCTCTGTTTACTTTTGAAGTTGGGTAGTTTTCTGCAGTGACAAGGTTTCATCCCCTTCTCTTTCTCCTTTATGTATTAACTTTAACAGTGACTTTTAAAGTTTTACATGTTTTTATGATGGTATCATCTTTTTACTCCCAGATGTAAGACTCCCTTGGGCATTTCTTGTAAGGCTGGACTAGTGGTGATGAATTATCTTGGTTTTTGTTTATCTGTGACAGACTTTATGTCTTCTTCATTTGTAAAGGATAGCTGTGCGGGGTATAATATCCTTGGTGGAAACTTTTTTTTTCTTTCAAAATTTTTAATATATCATCCCATTTTCTTCCAGTTTAAAGTTTCTTCTGGGAAATCAACTGTTAGTCTAACAGGGATTCCATTATAAGTGTCTTCATGTTTTCTCTTGCTATTTTACAAAATCTTTCTCTTTTTCACAATTTGACTATACGGTTTGGGTTGAATATATTTTGGGTGCTTTGATCTTCCTGGAACTAGATGTCTAGCTTTCCAGAGTTACAAAGTTTTATGCTATCATTTTATTAAATATGTTTTCCTCACATTTTTTCTTCAATTTTCCTTCTGTAATGCCCATAATATTTGTTAAATTAATGATATCCCATAAATCCTGTAGGCTTTTTTCACTCTTTTTTGTCTGCTTGTGTTATTTCAAAGACTTGTCTTCAAGTTCAGAAATCATTTCTTCTGCTTGTTTTTGTCTGTAAAGCCAATGATTGTATTTTTCATTTCATCCATTAACTGTTTAGCTCTTAGGACTTCTGTCTGGTTCTTTTTGTGATATCTGTATCTTTACTGAATTTCTCATTCAAATCATGTTTTCCTGATTTCACTGACTTGTCTATCTGTATTAACCTTATACCTCACTGAGTTTACTTAAGATTATTCTTTTGAATTCTTTTTCTGGCATTTTATATGTTTAAGATTGGGGTCTATTACTGGATAATTATTACTTTCCGACTGCCACACACTCCGGATGCCTGCCTGACATGCATTCCTGATTCCTTTTGGTTCCCAGTCCAAAATGGCAAGTCTCAAGGATCAGCTGATTCTAATCTTCTAAGATTAATTCTAATTAATTCTTAGAATAATCTTCTAAGGGAAGAACAGAACCCCCAGAATAAGATTACAGTCGTTGAGGTTGGTGCTGTTGGAATGGCCTGTGCCATCAGTATCTTAATGATCTTAATGAAGGACTTGGCAGACAAACTTGCTCTTGTTGATGTCATGGAAGACAAATTGAAAGGAGAGATGATGTATCGCCAGTGTGGCAGCCTTTTCCTTAAAACACCAAAGACTGTCTCTGGGAAAGACATAATGTAACTGCAAACTCTAAGCTGGTCATTATCACGGCTGGGACACATCAACAAGAGAGAGAAAGCCATCTTAATTTGGTCCAGTGTAATGTGAACATCTTTAATTTCATCATTCCTAATGTAAAATACAGCCCAAACTGCAAGTTGCTTATTGTTTCAAATCCAGTGAATATCTTGACCTATGTGGCTTGGAAGATAAGTGTCTTTCCCAAAAACCATGTTATTGGAAGTGGTTGCAATCTAGATTCAGTCTGGAGTTCACCCATTAAGCTGTCATGGGTGGGTCCTCGGGGAACATGGAGATTCCAGTGTGCCTGTATGGAGTGGAGTGAATGTTACTGGTGTCTCCTGAAGACTCTACATCCAGATTTAGGGACTGATACAGACAAGGAACAGTGGAAAGAGGTTCACAAGCAGGTGGTTCAGAGTGCTTACGAGGTGGTCAAACTCAAAGGCTACACATCTGGGGCCACTGGACTCTCTGTGGCAATTTGGCAGAGAGTATAATGAAGAATCTTAGGCAGATGCACCCAATTTCCACCATGATTAAGGGTCTCTATGGAATAAAGGATGATGTCTTCCTTAGTGTTCCTTGCATTTTGGGACAGAATGGAATCTCAGACCTTGTGAAGGTGACCCTGACTCCTGAGGAAGAGGCCCGTTTGAAGAAGAGTGCCAATACACTGTGAGAGATCCAAAAAGAACTGCAATTTTAAAGTCTTCTGATGTCACACCATTTCACTGTCTAGGCTACAACAGGATTTTAGCTGGAGGTTGTGCATGTTGTCCTTTTTATCTGATCTGTGATTAAAGCAGTAATATTTTAAGATGGACTGGGAAAAACATCAATTCCTGAAGTTAAGAATAGGAATGGTTTGTAAAATCCTACAGCTACATCCGGATGCTGGATGGTAGTAACCTTGTGTAGTCCTAAACTGGTCACCTCTGAGGCACCACTGCCAATGCTGCACACGGTGCAGTTGCCCCTTGAGCCAGATGGATGTTTGCTGTGCATTATATAACTTCCTGGCTCCTTCACTGAGCATGCCTAGTCCAACATTGTTTCCCAGTCAGTCACATCCTGGGATCTAGTGTACAAATCCAGTATTGCATGTCTTCTGCATAACTGTTCCAAAGGATCTTGTCTTGTGAACTATACATATCAGTAGTATACATTACCATATAATGTAAAAAGGTCTACATATAAACAATGCAACCAACTATCCAAGTGCTACACCAACAAAAACCCCCAATAAACCTTGAACAGTGAAAAAAATTGCTATTTCCATTTGAGGGTGACAAGTTTTCTTGCATTTTCATGACTGATGTGTTTCTATGTTGATTTCTATGCATCTGGTGAAAAAGTCACCTTTTCCAATTTTATGGAGTAGGTTTACTTGCATGAATTTATTCGTATGAATGGGTCTTGGGTATCAGTTCATTGGGGTATATTGATCTTGCTTCTACATGGATGCTGTAAATGTAGTCTCCGTGTAGTTTATTCAGCTGTGATCCACACTGGTAACATTTGCAAGTTTCTCAGTGTCCTAAGACAAGGAAGTTGGTGGTGATGGTGGGCTCACTGGGCTGTTTCTCAGGGTAGGGGTGTGTGCAGGCATAGAGTGGGTCAGAAAACTTGGTCAGCTTCATGGGGCTGGCCATGGTACTGTTACTCTGGCTAGAAGCATGGGAATACAGTTGCTCAACCAGGCCATGCCTGCCAGATGTGGCCTGCAGGGTAGTTTCTCAGGCCCAGGATGCAGGCATATGGCTGTTTGCCTGGCTTGGAAATATGCACTCCAGGAGTGGCCTGACAGGCTGTTTCCCATGCCGGGTATGTGGGTACACAGCTGCTCATCCAGCCTGGGGCCAATCTGCTGGGGGAAACTCAAGGTTCAAATGTGTAGCTGCATGGCTAAGCTGGACTGCAGGTATCTTTTCCAGGGCTGGCCAAGAGGGGGTGTTTCTCAGGCCTGGGATACAGTCAAATGACTTCTCAGCCATCCTGGGTGTGTGTCTGCTGGGGGTAGTCCATAGGGCTCTTCTAGTTCAGGATATGGGCATACTGCTGCTCAGCTGGCCTGGCTGGTGCCAGCTAAAGGAAACCCAGGGGACTGCTTCTATGACCCAGGATCTGTGCACAAGGCTGCTTGGCTGGCCTAGGGGAAGGCCTTTTGGGAGCAGCCCATGGAGCTCTTTCTCAAGTCCAGAATATGGGCATTCATGGCTGATTGGCTGGTCTGGAGGTGCCTCTGCTGGGAATGGGTACAGGACTGTTTCTCAAGCTCATGCAAACTTTCAGCCTACAGGGCTGTTCCTCAAGCTGGGATATAAGTATGTGAGTGCTTAGTTGACCTAGGGTATGCTGAGACATAGGTATGTGAGTGCTTAGTTGGCCTAGGGTATGCTGAGACATAGGTATGTGAGTGCTTAGTTGGCCTGAGGGTATGCTGAGACATAGGTATGTGACTGCCTAGTTGACCTAAGGGTATGCTGAGACATAGGTATGTGACTGCCTAGTTGACCTAAGGGTAAGCTGAGACATAGGTATGTGAGTGCTTAGTTGGCCTGAGGGTATGCTGAGACATAGGTATGTGACTGCTTAGTTGGCCTGAGGGTATGCTGAGACATAGGTATGTGAGTGCTTAGTTGGCCTGAGGGTATGCTGGCCAGAGTAAGCTCCCAGGGTTGTTTCTTGGCCCTGAGGCTTGGGCACACACAGCTGCTTGCTTCTCAGGTCTGAGACACAGGTGCGAGGCCCACTCAGTGGTGTGCCTGCTGGGGGCAGCCTGCGGGACTGTTTCTCAAGCACTTATTAAAGGCAGAGGGCTGCTGAGCAGGCCAGGAGCATGTCTGTGGTGGATGGGACCTGCAGGGCTGTTTCTCAGGTCCTGAGCATGGGTTCAGTCACTCTGTTGACCTGGGAGTGTATCAGCTGCTCAGAGGCTTAGGGTCCTCTCTCATTTGGGAGAGGGTATGTAGTGGTTTGGCTGGCTCAAGGGTGGGACCGCAGACTACTCCTATTTGCAAGCGTGGTGGTGGGGTTGATTTTCCTGCTCTACAGCACTTGAGCTACAGCCAATCCTGGGACCAACCTCCACACAGCCGGGGTTGTGGCTGTAACCCACCCATGTCGGCTTGGGGTATAAAGATAAAGCTCCATTGCTGGAGAGGTGCTGTGGCTACTGGCCCCCAGAGGAGGGCACACTCAAGAGATGACTCTGGTCTCTAAGCTGTGCTGCTCGCGCTGAGATCCCTACAGGTGGAAGGTCTTCACCTTGTACTGCTAGTCCAGGACACGCAGGTGTGTAAATTCTTGGCAGTACTCCAAATCGACCTCAGGGCTTTCAAAGACTGTGAGATTCTCCTGTTGTAAAGACTTCGTGTTTGTGATGGCAGCGGGGCTGGTGGGGATCTTCTGCTTGCCTTTACCCTGCAATGAGAAGTCCCTCCTGTCTCTGGGCCAATTCAATCCAGGTGGGAGAGAAGGGGCTGCAGAGGCCGAGTGCTTCCATGCTGTGGGGACTTCCAGTAACCACAGGTGTGTCTCCACTCCTTTGCTGCACTCCAGGACTATCCCTCTGATACTCTAATCAAATCTTAGATGTGCATTTGTTGCCTACGTTCATTCTTGAAGGGCAGATGAGCACCAGGCATCTCTAGTCATCCGTCTTGCTTGATTTAGCATAATTCATAAGGGCCCTAGGATTTTCAGAATAGTCAATGACACTGGCTTCAACTTAAAGTCACCAGCTTCATTAGCCCCTAACAAGAGAATCGGCCTGTGCTTTGAAGCTTTGAAACCATGCAGTGACTTGTCCTCTCTAAATATAAAAGTCCTAGATGGCGTCTTCTTCCAATAAAAGGTTATCTTGTCTACATTGAAAATCTGTTGTTCGGTGTGGCCATCTTCATCAGTTACCTCAGCTAGACCTTCTGGCCAACCTGCTGCTGCTTCTGCGTCAGCACTTGCTGTTTCTCCTTCTCCTTTTATGTTATGAAGAGGGCTTCTTTTCTTAAACCTCATGAACCAACCTGTTAGCTTCAAGCTTTCCTTCTGCAGCTCCCTTACCTCTCTCAGCCATCACTGACTTGAACAGAGTGAGGGCCTTGTCCTGGATTAGGCTTTGGCTTAAGGGAATCCTGTGGCTGATTTGATCTTTTTTTTTTGAGACGGAGTTTCGCTTTTGTGACCCAGGCTGGAGTGCAATGGCGCGATCTTGGCTCACCGCAACCTCTGCCTCCTGGGTTCAGGCAATTCTCCTGCCTCAGCCTCCTGAGTAGCTGGGATTACAGGCACACGCCACCATGCCCAGCTAATTTTTTGTATTTTTAGTAGAGACGGGGTCTCACCATGTTGAGCAGGATGGTCTTGATCTCTTGACCTCGTGATCCACCCGCCTCAGCCTCCCAAAGTGCTAGAATTACAGGCTTGAGCCACCGCGCCCGGCCAGAACTGTTCCTCTTTTATCCAACTAGATCGAAGAACGAAGAAAGATAGAAAGGTAACTGTAGATACTACAGTAATAAGACTTTAGAAAACAGTGTCTAAGACTCTGTGTTGTTATGGAGTCTCCATAACACGGAAGACATGAGCTTACCAAATCTGAATGTATGTATGCCTATGTGTGTGTGCCTATGTGTGTATTACATGTGTATGTTTACATCTAGCTTTCTATTTACTTAAACCTCACATTTTGTTGAGTTCATGAGTTACTGTTATCATTCCACTGAAAGCAGTGCTGATGGAATAAAAAGGTGCATAGACATAAAATGAATTTCTCTTCTTTGACACTATTAGCAAATACACTTTTTTTGCACCAAAAGGAATAGGTTTTCCATAAATATTAAACACATATATATATAATAAGTGAGGATATGTAAATCCTACCATATAGTCCAGTAAGTAAAGTCCAACAATTAACAAAGACTCATTCATCATGGCTAATTAGAGAATAAACTACATATATATAAATTAAACCTATATACATATTAGAAATATATTTTAATTTACCCATGTATCCAATGTCCTATATAATAATTTTTTTTTAATTTATTTATTTGCCGGCTTAAAAATCAATTCTACATACAAAACTCACATACTACTACTTAACAAGCAACAGCAGAATTCTCACCTCGATGTTTCCTTAATCAGCCACTGATTAAACACAATCCTTTTATAACTTCTGTAAAATCTCATTCACTTTGAAAATTTTCTTGAGCATATCAGGTTTTCCATATTACTTATACCTTTATGATTTATTTCCAGGAAAGGTTTTCATATGACTGGGAAAACCCTCCACGATCCCTTCCTTTCACCGATCATGTTGGTCTTTCCCGCCCGTGAGAAACAGTGAAAAGCATCTGCACACCTAAGGAAGAGCGGCATCCAGTGAGGTGGTGGGTTTGGGTTGAGTCTGGGCACCAACTCATATGTGGACAGAGCTCTCAAGGCTGTGGGACAAGTCCATGTTCCATTAGCTCCGTTCTTTTCTGCCCAGGGCTTCACTGCACCTGTGGGCCACTATCTCCTCCATGTTGCAAATAGGATTCTCTCCTCCCTTGGAACTCTCTGGTAGGGTCTCAAACTCAGGAAACCTGAGTCCCTTAAAAAACTGTGTCTCTTAAAAAAAACTACTGCCCCAAAGGCAAACCCACCATCAGAGGGGATGGAGCCCCTGACTTAACCCTATCTGAGGGGCAGGAAAGACATCCATGATTGGTGAAGAGTTATTGGTGGTATTTGAACGTGAGAAGGCAAAACATTACAAGGACAAGCAAGGTGGGTATTTACAAACTGATGTTGAATTTATAGAAATTTTGCCAGGAAAAATGTATATATTTGTCACTTTTACTAGGAACTAAGGGTGACAAATACACCAACAGGAAGAAGCAGCTCTCCTATGACCTGACCAAAGCAACTCCATCAAAAAAGGATGCAAAGTTACCTACAAACGCTACAATGAAAAGAATTGGAAATGCTGTTCAAAAACACTCCGTACGGCCATGCAGGCTCCTGAGAGTCAATTCCACAAATGTCCATCTGTCTCCTTGCTTCATGGTTCCACTGTGGGATGGGTTTGTTTGTGCACGTGTGTTGAGAGAATTATGGATGGATGGATAAGACGGATGGATGGATACATTTGTTTATGTGCCTGTGTGTGTGTACATATAGTTCTGTGCACTTATGCATATACATGTCTTTATCTATTTATAACTCACCTGTTACTGGTACCTGGATGCTCCTGGGTTGCTACCATCAACTTACTTGTGTGTGGACTAGAGGATGGTAAGAGAATACAGTCAGACAGGGGACACAATTTTAAATTTCCTTTTTTTTTTGAAAAATTAGCTTTTATTACTCTAGACGGAAACGGATTAATTTCTGACTATTCACATGCATACAACTATTGGACCCTGGAATGGCTTCCTTTTTTATTAGAAATGAGGATTTGTATGATGGCAATCAACATCTTAGGCTGGAAAAAATAGTAATACTTCCAGATTTAACCAAACCTCTTTATTATGACCTCAGTCCCAATGTGTGACAGCCTTGACGGTGGCAGTTATTTCAGTCAACTCCAGTTTGTAGGTAGTCAGCCCTCTTATTCCATTGAATGTCCTGCTTCAAAGGCCCTTACTTTCGCCTACCATGGTAGTCTCTCTTGCCCCACAAAAAGGGTCAAGTAACTAAAAGTCTGACACAGGGGCAAAATCTAATATGATGGTGATTTGTGGTTTGGTGCACCAGCCTTCATGATGGCAGAGTTCTGGGGACTGGAGGACACCTCCAAGGCTCTTAGCTCTGATCCTTTCTGCTGAGGGGTTCACCCTGACTGCTTCTACCTCTTGCTCCAAATAGGATTCTCTCCTCCCTCGGACAAATCTAATATGCCTGCTACTAACTAAGGGTGACAACAGAGTAACAGACGGAAGCCTTTCTCTATAGTCTATTCCTCTTTTATCCAAAAATAACTGTAAAAATGTGTAAGTGTTCCTAAACCTTCTACAGTGAGAAGATTAAGAAACTGTATCTAAGATACTCTAGATTGCCATGGCCACTCCTGAGAGAAGATCCCACAAATCTCAATCTCTTTCTCTGTCATTGTTCTGTTTGAGCGTGTGTTTGTGTGTGCATCGTTTATAAATCACATTTCATCAGTGACTATATCAGTGATGGATCCTAATAGTTTAGGTAGTGAACATAGCAATGCATCCAGATCAAGGGACTGTATTTTCACTAAAACGTGTAACAGCCTTTTTCGAGGACATTTAATTCCAGTTCAACTTTAATTTGTAAGTCCCCCTTCTTATAATCCCATCTGAATTCCTCATTCTCAGTCACCTTGAAACACCTCCTCACTTTTCACCAATCCTAGTTAGTCTTTCCTTCCCAAGAGTCGGGGTCAAGTAGCCACAGGCCTCAAAGTAGGGCAGCATCCCATGTGATGATGGGTACGGGCCAAGGAGTCAGCCTCACACAGTGCAAGAGCTCTGGAGGGTGGGGGAATACTTCCAGGGCTGTTATCTCTCTTCCTTTTTTTTTTTTCCCCGCTGGGAGTTCTGTGCACTTTGTCCGCTGCTGTCTGCATCTGGCTCCAAGCAGGATTCGCTTCTCCCTTGATCCACGCTACGAGTACAGTCTCATTCCCACAGAAAAGAAAGGTGCTCAACACTAACATAAAAAGCCACCCTCTATGAGTTCGTCCACATTTCTTACGTCTTTCTAAAAACAGAAGAATATTTTTCCCAAAGTTCACCCTGAGAAGATGCTAAAAATAGTTTCAAGGGAACTCCTTGTCCCCATGGATGCTCGTGACAGTGAATAGCCCGAATCTCAATCTCTCTGCATGTTGTATGTATGAATGCATGTATGTGTGTGTTCATATACACACGCATACATGTACAGTTGTATTCCTTTAGTTCATATATTGCATTGTCCAGTCAACCAGAAGTCCCTTTCAATTCACACACAGGGCAGTGCCAAAGAACTTAAAACATACACAGTAAGACAACATGTAATGTCCCAGCTTTAACGTTTTCAGTTAAAAATAGTTCCAATTACTTTTCAACCTGTGAACTGCTTGATCGTTACAGAATTCAGGTGTGTATTTGGTTATTTGGAATCCTCCATGCCATTTTCCCTATGCACCATACTTTACATCATTGTAGCACACATTTCACACTTACCCAAGACTCAATGACTCAAGATTTAACTGAATTCCCTATCACTGAAGCTGACCAATGCTTGACAGCCTTTTGAGGGTGAATTTCTTTTAAATTCAACTCCACTGTGCAGGCAGTCAGCCTGCTAATCCCATCTGAGGACCCACTTCCTGGATACCCCCATCACTTCCTTCCTTTTGCGCATCATGCTAGTCTTTCCTGTCCCTGAGACACAGGCAAGTAGCTGTGGGCTTAAGGAAGGGCTGCATGCAATGAGGTGGGCTTGGGGTTGGCTCTGGGCTCCAACCTCACATGTGGACAGAGCTCTGGAGGGTGAGGGACAAGTCCACGTTCCATCAGCTCTGTTTGTTTCTGCCAAGGGTTTCTCTACTCCTTGTCAGCTGCTATCCCCATGTGGCAAATAGGATTCTCTCCCTGGTAGGGCCACTCTGTTAGGCTCCTGAACTCAGGAAATCTGAGTCCCTGAGGAAACTGCTTACTATCAACTATGGGTAACAAAGAAACTCACAGGAAGAAGCAACTCTCCTATAACCTGCTCCTCTTTATACAACTCCACCAAAGACGGATGCAAAGTTACCCACAAATGCTGCAATGTGAAGAACTGGAAACCCTGTTTAAAATCACTCCTTAGGGCCATGCTGTCTCCTGAGAGTAAATGCCACAAATGCCCATTGGTCTCCTTGTTGTGTGTTTCCATTGTGGGCATGGGATTGTGTGTACATGTGTGTTGACAGAAGTGTGTATGGATAGATGCATGGACGGATGGACAGATGGATATATTTATGGGCCTGTGTGTGTGTACAGCTCTATGCACACTGATGCATATGTGTGTCTTTATTCTCTAATTATAACTCACCTTTCATCGATAGGTGCCTCCTGACTTGCCCCTGCCAATTCATTTGTGTGTGAACTAGGGATGATAAAAGGATACAGTCAAACAGGAGACACAACTCTAAATTTACTTTTCTGGCAAAACTAGCATATAAACCAGATAACTTGTAACTACTCATGTATATAGCACTACTTGGGTCTGAAATGTCAATCTTTTTCATTAGAAATGAGGATACACATGATGGATACCAATATCTCAAGCTACGGAAAATAGTAATGCCTCCCGATTTAACTAAACCTCTTTATTAGACCTCAGTCCCACATGTCCCAATGTGACACCCTTTGTGGTGGCAGTTATTTCAAAGTCAACTCCAGTTCGTAGGTAGTCAGCCCTCTTATTCCATTGAATTTCCTGCTTCAAAGACCCCTCCATTAGCTCCTTACATTCACCCACCATGGTGGTCCCTCTTGACCCTCAAAGTGGGTCAAATAACTAAAGGTCTGACACAGGGGCGCCATCCAGTATGACAGTGATTTGAGGTTTGCAGCACTAGTCTCCATGGTGGTAGAGTTCTAGGGGGTAAAGAATACCTCCAAGGCTCTTAGCTCTGATCCTTTCTGCTGAGAGCCTCACAGCACCCTCACTATTCCTAACTCCTCCTTCCTGCAAACAGGAATGTCTCTTCTCTTGGCCCACTCTAGTATGTCTCATACACAGAAAATCTGAGTTTCCAAGGCATTTGCCTGCTACTCAGGGTGACAAGACAGTAAGAGACGGAAGCCTCCCTGTTTACTCTGTTTCTCTTTTTTCCAAAACAACTATAAAAATGTGGACATTTACCTATACATGCTACAGTGAGAAGATAAAGAAACTGTGTCAAAGACACTCTGTACTGCCATGGACACTCCTCAGAGTAAATCCCATTAATCTCAATCTCTTTCTCTGTCATTATTTTGTGTGTGTTTTGTGTGTACATCTTTTATAACTCACATGTCTTCAGTGGCACTATCAATGATGTTTCCTGCCAGCTCATTCAGATGGGGACTAAAGGACAAATACGGTCAGACTCAGACACTATGTGTAATTCTAAATGTTTTGCATCAAATAGCTAGTTACTCTATGAGTCATTCCCTGGTTACCCTTTAAATCTTCACATGTATGTATATCACTAAATTCACCTGATTTGGCATTTTTTCAATGAGAAATGAGGTGGTGTATGTCAACAGTGAATATCTTAGGTTTTGTACATAGCAACGCATCCAGATTAAGTGACATATCACCTCCATGTGTCACACTCTTTTTCGAGTACTGTTAATTCCAGTTCAACTTTAGTTTGTAAGTCCCCTTCTTATAATCCCATCTGAATTCCTCATTCTCAATCACCTCCAATCACCTCCTCACTTTTCACCCATTTAGTGGTCTTTCCTGCCCAAAAGTCAGGGCCCAGTGGCTGCTGGCCTCAAGCAAGGGCTCTATCCAATGTCATGATGGGTACAGGCCCAGGGAGTCAGCCTCACAGTGGCAGGGCCCTGGAGGCTGAGAAATACTTTCAAGGCTATTAGCTCTGTTCTTTTTCCGCCACTGGCTTCTCTGTTCATCATCCACTGCTATCTCTTTCTGGCTCCATGCAGGATTTGCTTCTTTTTTCGGTCCACACTCCTAGAACAGTCTCATTCCCATAGAAACAACAGGTGGCACACACTAACATAGCAAGCCTCCCTCTATGAGTTCTTCCCCATTTTCCTGCCTCCATCCAAAAGACAAAAGAATATTTTGTACAGAAGCTGATCCTGAGAGGGCTCTTGACATAGTTTCAAGGGAGCTGCTAGTTCCTGTGTATGGTTCATGGCAGTCAATAGGCAAATCTCAATCTTTCTGTGTATGATGCATGTATGTGTGTGTTCATATATGCATATATACATGCATATTCCTTTAGATCACATGTTACATTGCCAGTCTACCAGAAGATCCTCTTTCAATTCACACAGAGGGCAGGGTCGAAGAATTTAAAACGTACATAGTAAAACAACGTGCAACTTCGTAGACTTAACGTTTTCAGTTCTAAATAGTTCCAATTACTTTTCAACCTGTAAACGGCTTGACCCTTACACAAGCCATGTGTGTATTTGGTTGTTTGGATTCTGCCATGCCATTTTTCCCTAAGCATCATACTTTATATGATTGTAGCATACATTTTAGACCTATCCAAGACTCACTGACTCAGATTTAACTAAAACTCCCTGCCACTGAAGCTGACCAATACATAACAGCCTCTAGTGGGTGAATTTCCTTTAAAATTGTTATAAAAGAACTAAGGGTGACAAATACACAAATCGGAAGAAGCAGCTCTCCTATGACTTGTTCCTCTGAATATAACTCCACCAAAAAAAGATGCAAAGTTACCTACAATGCTACAATGAGAAGAACTGGAAACCCCATCATAAAACACTCTGTGTGGCCATGCAGGCTCCTGAGAGCAAATTCCACAAACGTCCATCTGTCTCCTTGTTTTATGTTTCCATCGCGTGTATGGGTTTGTTTGTGTTCGTGTATTGAAAGAGTGTACGGATGGATGCATGGATGGATACATTTGTTTCTGTGCCCGTGTGTGTGCAAAGTTCTACGCACACTTATGCATATGTGTGTCTTTATGTATTTATAACTCACCTTTCATTGATAGGTGCCTCCTGGGTTGCTCCTCTCAATTCATTTGTGTGTGGACTAGAGGACGATAAAAGATCAGTTAGACAGAAGACATAATTCTAAATTTACTTTTTGGAAAAGCTAGCTTTCATTGCTTCCATTACTCTACACACAAACCAGTTTATTTCTGACTATTCGTGTGTATGTAACTATTTTAATCTAGAATGTAACTTTTTTTATTAAACATGGGAATTTATATGGTGGCAACCAACATCTTAGGCTGGGGATAAAATGAATGCTTCCTGATTTAAGTAAAGCCTCTGTATTATGCCCTCAGTCCCAGTGTGTGATAGCCTTCGTTGTGGCAGTTATTTCAAACTCAGCTCCAGTTCGTAAGGAGTCAGTCCTCGTATTCTACTCAATGTCGTGCTTCGAAGGCCCTCTAACACCTCCTTACCTGATCGTCTCTCCTGTTCCTCAAGCAGGATAAAGGAACTGCAGGTCTGAGTCAAGGGCACAGTCTGATATCATGGTATTTGGAGTTTGGAACATGGGCTCGATCTCTTCACCTCGTGATCCACCCGCCTCGGCCTCCCAAAGTGCTGGGATTACAGGCGTGAGCCACCGCGCCCGGCCAGCACCATGTTTTTAAATGTTACTAAAAAGACTGCATTATTGCCAAATTGTTTACAAATGTAAAATAATCACATTGAAAAATAAACATAATTTTTAAAGAAATTTAATTAACTTATTCCAAAACATAAAATACTCAGAAAGAACACATGTTACTTAACAAGACAAAGATAAGAACACTAGTGGAAAAATGGGCTAAGTTCACGAATGGACCATTTCAGAAGAAATCCCAAATGTTGTAAGCATATAAACTGAGGCTCAGACTCACAACTTATCACGTAAATGCAAAGTAAAATGCAGTGTGTTACCATTTATTAGACTGGTGATACAAATAAAAAAGTGTGATTACGTCAAGTGTTGCTGTGAATGTGTATGTGTGGGAACCATCAACCACTGTTGAGATGCAGACTGGTATAACCATTGTGAGAGCAACAGGCAGTATTCAGTCAAATTCAAAATATGCAGTCCCATGGCCCATCGAATCCTGCTTCATCTTCCTACAGAAATACTCAAATAGGTCTATAGGGGTCCGGCATAAGGATAATCATTTTGCATCACTCTTTGTGAAGGCAAATGGTAGGAAGCAATATATGTGTTCCTCACAAGGGGAGGCATGCCTTTGAATTTTTCATATAAGTTAAAAGCAACAACTAAAGGTATACACAAGAAGAATCTTATGTTATTGAGCCAAAAACTAACAAAATGAGATACAACTTAATATCATTTAAGTAAATTTAAAAAGTAACACATATAGGCAAAACAACAAAACATAGTTTACCAGAACACATATAAATATATATACTGTATATTCAACATATTAAGATTGTTGCATATATGTATCTACCTATATATGTCAATATGTCTATCTATACTCTCATCTATATACTAAAAAGGCCTACAGGTGGCAATGAGCCAATAGCAATGAGCATACCAAATGTACAAATAGTTTCTAAGAGGAATCAAGGTCTTTGGGTAAATGGCTGATTCCAGGGCTGAGGAAATGCTCAAAATGTGATGGGGACATGTCAAGTCAAGTGGACACAGGAGCTAGACTTTAGGGAGTCCCACTGGCCAAATACGGGACCATTTAAACATCAAAATAAATAATGACAGAAATGGATTGTAATCCATTGAAATAAAATAAGAATTTATAAGTTAATACTAATAATAAATAAATAGGGGTAGGAATAGCTCTTCCTTTTAATAGAATGATTTTAAAAACTGTAATATTTAATAGGAGAGTTACTTGATCTGAAAGTGGTATTCTATCCTTTCAAAGGCTATGAAATTATTTTGTGTCATCTCATATAAAAGATGTAATATTCTTTTCTTTTTTTTTTTTGAGACGGAGTTTCGCTCTTGTTACCCAGGCTGGAGTGCAATGGCGCGATCTCGGCTCACCGCAACTTCCGCCTCCTGGGTTCAGGCAATTCTCCTGCTTCAGCCTCCTGAGTAGCTGGGATTACAGGCACGAGCCACCATGCCCAGCTAATTTTTTGTATTTTTAGTAGAGACGGGGTTTCACCATTTTGACCAGGATGGTCTCGATCTCTTGACCTTGTGGTCCACCCGCCTCGGACTCCCAAAGTGCTGGGGTTACAGGCTTGAGCCACTGCACCCGGCCAAAGATGTAATATCCTAAGAGCTTGAATTTAGGTTGTCTCTGAAGAATCTGATGAATAATCTTGACAATAAGAAAGTGAATGCTGAGATTTTAGAGTGAATAGACATTTTTAATCTCATAATCTACTTTTTGTTGACTAAATACCCTTCTCACATTTCTAAGACATCTAAAAGTAGCTGTTAGACCTATTAAGTCCTCCTGATGAAAACTGAAATGTTTGGAGATTCCATCTTTGCATCATCTTTTAAACATTTTTTCCATGAAAATTCTTCTTCAAATGAACTTGTAGATATCAAACATGCCCAGTAAACTTCACATCTGCAAGTGATGAACAGATAAACTGCACAGGAAACACGTTTGACAAACGTACCAGCATTTCCTGTTGTAGAATCCTTGGGCCATATTAAGGGCATTATTAAGCTGGCATCTCATAAAGTGTATAGAATGAACCACTCATTTGGGAAGATGTTAAAAGGAAATAGTAACAACAGCCAAACTTGTTTTATTTAAATGTATAAAATTAATTCCAAATATTAAAAATATTTGGTGACTATACTGGTAATCTTGGGATGGTAAAGAACTTTGAGTATGACACACACAGCATTAGTCATTAAAGCACCAATCGTATCTGAACACACGAAGCTTATTCTAAAGCTCTATGTAAGGTTGCAATATTTTACCTTAAACATCAAATGCAAAAACATATTAGAGATTTGCCACATAAAACTGTCATGTGACCAATTTATTTGAACAACAAAATTTCTTGAATCTAAAAGATAAAGTAAATATGACTTAGGTCACTTAAGATTTAACTTTTTAGAAAGAATTTTAGAATCGGTGTCCAGAAAACTATTTTCCCATTGATATGAATAATTCTGAGACTGAACTCCTCCAATCCCCAATATATATTATGACATCACTTTTCATTGTTGGCTCCAGCACTGATTTCTGATGTCACAGTGCAAAGGATTTAAAGGCAAATAGTAAGAAACAACATAAATTCATACACTATTTTTTTTGGTTCAAATTTGCTATGATTGCGTTAAAAAATTACAATGTGTTGTCCCTTAAAAATTCTCATGTAAATCTGTTATTTGGAACCTGGCACTTCATTTTTCTCTAGAATGAAGTTTTTATGTGTTGGTAATAAAAATTGTTTAGGACTTTCCAAGAAGTCTAATAAATCAACATTTAAATACAATCCTTTATCACTGAACCTGATCATCATGTGTGACAGCAAATTGAACTTAAATTTACCCCAAATTCATGTTCCATTTGTACGCACACATTGTTCTTGCCCATTTTGATTTCCTAATTCTCAAATCCTTCCATCACCTTCATGCTCTTCATGAGTCACAGATATCTTTTCTTCCCCTCAAACAGGATCCAGTGACTAAACCTGAGGCAGGGGCTCCATCCAATGTGATGATGGCTTTGGGTTTGGGGCACAAGCTCTGCAGGGTGAGGGATAGACACAGGGTCTCTTAGCTCCTTTCCTTTTGTTGAGTGCTCCTCTGCTGCCTGTCCAACACTACCGTCGTCTTTCTCTAAGTAAGATTCTCTCCTCTCTTGGATCGCTGTTGATAGAGTCTCATACAAAGGCTTTCTGATAGTCTCCTAAGGGCTTTGACTGCTAATTACTAAGGGTCACAAACAAACTTTGAGTATCAAGTGTCCCTCTTCTGAGCTGATCTTATATTTTCCACTTAGGTTCAAAAACAATGTTACCTAAAGATGCTTATGGTCTCATGGAAAGCTCTTATTGCCATTGACGCTCCCTGTAGTTTTTACCTGTTAGATCAGTCAACTCACCCACTGCTGTCATTGTTGTCAGAACATACAGTAGAAGCTGTTGATGAATCCAGAATTCTACCAAACAGTAAAAAAAAACACATACAAAAAATAAAGTCAGATATTTTGGAAGGCAATCAGGACGCAACAGTATTTCAGGACAGGAAAAGTAAAATCAGAGGAATTTTGACAAGAATGAAAGAAACAATTTCAGGGTCCAGCACTAGTACTTCTGAGACAGGGGGTGTGTGTGTGTGTGTGTGTGTGTGTGTGTGTGTGTGTAAGAAAGGACACAGAAAAAATAAGGAAAATGTCAGAGTATTGAATGTTCCTATATGAATGGCTAGTTTGTGAACTGAAAGTAGATTATATGTTCAGAATGATTCTGTTTTCTTTTTGTCTGGATTCATTTCTTTAAGTTATGTGGCTATATTTTATAAAATCAAGACTTCCAAAATCTTCCTAAACCAGTAGCTGCAGATAGGACCATATGAGGATCAAGCCTTGGGTGTCATCTCTAAGAACACGTTGCAGGCCACACTCATATTCTTTTATTCTGCTTATGCAAGGGTGGGCTGTCTCCAAAACACTTTAGCTATTCACAGATATTAAAATGTCATATAATTGTAACATCCACTATGTTCCTTTATAAGCCACCAATCTCAATAATAAAAACCAATTTGTGACTTTCATTGTAATAATTAACAATGTTTCAGGTGTTAACTGAGATGGGACCACTGAAGCCCTTTTGGTGGCCATCTCTATGGAGTGGCTTCCTGAGCTGAACCCTAGCTCACCTGATCCTTGAACAGAGCATCCACCATTAGGGCATCCCAGCCTAATGGTGGGAAAGATTAAGGAGCATCCACCATTAGCAGCCCAGCCTCCCTTATAAGAAAGACTAAAGCCACCAATATGTGCTTACTATCACACTGCCTAAAAGGTCTTATTTTTAAAGACATTAGCAGGCATAGAATGAGACTTTTTAATTTTTTTATATTTATTTATTTAGAGACAGAGTCTCACTTTGTCACCCAGGCTGGAGTGCAGTGGCATGAACTCAGCTCACTGCAACCTTCGTTTCCCAGGTTCAAGCGATTCTCCTGCCTCAGCCTCCCAAGTAGCTGGGACTGCAGGCGTCCGCCACCATACTGTGCTAATTTTTTTTTTTTTTGTACTTTTAGTAGAAACAGGGTTTCACTATATTGACCAGGCTCGTCTCGAACTCCCGACCTTGTGATCCACCCGCCTTGGCCTCCCAAAGTGCTGGGATTACAGGCATGAGCCACCACACCCAGCTGGCTTTTTTATTTTTCATTTTTTTTCTATTTCTATTATTTTCCTATCTAATTATTTTTCTGTTTCTAGTTGCTGGGTCACAGACAGCAGCAAATTCCATCCCTTCGGGGTTATACCAGCTCATCTGCAGTAGGAGTAGAAATATCCAGGCTCTCAGTCTATACCACCTTGTGTTCTAGAGACGTGTCCCAAGCACATCTCTGGACATGAACCAGGGCAACCCAAGGCAGAGCTGGATTTCTGGGAGATTTTCTCTGTAAGCCCTGGACCTGCTTACCTGTAGGCCAGACTGCTTCAGGGTCACTGCCGCTCAGAAGAGCCTGGGGTCAGTTCAGCCGAAAGAATGACACAAGTCTCAGGTCTTGTGCCAACAATACACGTCTCTCTAAGAAGGAGAAATTTATTCAAGGTCCTGTTAGCAGTTTTCTCTCCTGCTGCCTTTCGGGATTATGGCTTTTCCTTTTTTTATTTTTTTAATTTCCCAAAACCAAGTTTGTTAAATCAAATCTTTACCCAATTCCTGGCCATTAACAAGGTTACTGCTATTTGGCCCTACACCCACTAGGTGTCCTCCAGTACTATGAGGATAAGGGGACTCTGTGAGGTCCCTGGGAGGGAAAGGAAAGTCAATTAGTGATCTCCGCAGCTGGGTATAAGCAAACTTTCCTGTCTATGGGCCCAGAAACCTCCATCTAGTTCTCCCACCAAAACTTTACAGGATTCTAATCCTCCTGATGGGATGAGAGGGGATTATTAGCCAACAGAGAGGGCAGAGGCTGGGATGGGAATCCCTTGCTCAGAGACCCTCACCTCTAGGTCTTTACCTTACCTCGTGTTGAGAACAAGTGAGTATTGGGATAAGAACTCTGTGTCCATGGCAACCCGAAACAGAATCCTGGTGCTCTTGAGATTCTCGCAGAGTGGGGAATAGAACAAGCTGGGTTGGAGACTGCAGAGACTTAAAAACGGATGCTGTTCTGTCACACATACAGATAGTCATTAAATAAGATGAGGGGGAGGGCATGGGGTAGAGGAGAATGTACCAAAAGTAAAGACCCCAGGGTAATAACCTCAGAGCAGAGATATCTCTCCAGTCTTTTTTTTTTTTTTAAATGTAATGGAGGGGTTTCTTCTTATTTACTCTGATGAAGAAAGTTACATCAATGGTTCAGCTTCCTTTGTGGGTTAGAGAAGATAACCAGAAGGCTCAATGTTTTCTAGACAATATTAAATTTGACTAGAATAGGCAAGGTTGATAGGACTGTGAGAAAACAAATAGTTGTACATTTAAAATACACTAATATTCTAGCTAGAAGAGAGAATTTTGAGTGTTTTTAAAGCAAAGAAATGGTAAATGTTTAAGGCAATGGATATGCTAATTATCATAATTTGATCATGATACTATGTATAAATGTACTGAAACATCACATTGTACTTCATAAATACGTGCAATTTATTGTGTCAACTACAATTTTGATTATAAGAAAAAATAAACTTCAATTGTAAGAAAACAACCCAACTTTTAAAAAATGTGTAAAATATGTGAACAGATACTTTAGATTTGCAATTGGCAAATAAGCAAATGAAAAGATGTTCATCATCACTAGCCATTAGAGGAATGTAGAAACCACCAGATAGCTATTAGAATACCTAAAATTAGAAAGATAGAGGGTTGACAAAGATAGAAACCGAAACTCTCATACAATGCCAGGAAGGTAAAATGCTAGATCCACTTTGGAAAAGAGTTCGGCAGTTTCTTAAGAAGTTAATTAGGTCTTTTTGTCCCCACTTCAACAAGTAGAGAACTTGGAAGTCATCACTCCCATCTTCACAACAGGAAAAAAGATAATCAAACTGAAAATCAACAACTTTTCTTAGATCTGTCAGAGAATAGAGGTCACAGACCAAACCACTTGCTCAAAAACTAGAGAGATGGGTGACTACAGAAAATCACAGTTTACAGGACAGCAGAAGCCACTAGAGCCAGTAATTGGTAGGAACACTTAAGTGGCAATCAATAAATTACTGGTGGCTGAGTGTGGCTTGAGAGTTAAAGACTCGCTGGAGTCCCGTTCTGGGATTTTACTTCCCAGAAAAGTTCATGAATTTCACTTCCAGGAACCCACCAGGTTCTCATGATGAAGGCTGAAGAGAATTTCCTCAGGCTTTTTAGGCAAGGAAAAGGGAAAAGCAACCATTTCAAACTATGCCCTAATTCGGGGACAGAGACAGTGAGTGGGTATAGCAACCCTTTTGAGTATGCCCAGAGCATTCTGTTCTCTGTGTAAAAGGCCTGCCCTAAAGAAAGACTGCTTTATCAGGGTCTTGTCTGACACAGGGGAAAAGCAGTAAGACAACTCTAAACCCCTCTAGTTTTCCTGCCCCACAAAAAAGGAAGGGAAAAAAGAAATAATTACTAATTCAACAGCATAAAAATTTACACCTAATGTCTAAGAGTATAGTTTGGGATCTTCACTTAGATATTTCTTCCATTTGAGGTTAATTTTTCTGTATGATGTGAGGAAGAGATCTAATTTCATTCATTTGCATGTGGATATCCAGGTGTCCCAGCACCACCTGCTGAAGAGACTGTTCTTTTCCACTGGATAGTCTTGGTACCCTTGTGGAAAATCAACTGACTTCAAATGTATGGATTTACTTCTGGACTCTCAGTTCCATTCCACTGACCTACGTGTCTATCCTGATTCTAGTACGACACTATTTGAACCACTATAGCTTTATTGTAAGTTTTGAAATAATGAAGTGTGGACTCTGCAACTTCGTTGTTCTTCAAGATTGTTTTGGTTATTCAGAGTCCCTTGCATTTTCAAACAAATTTTAGGATCAGCAAGTCAATTTCTGCAAAAAGAAAAGCTAGGATTTTGATAGGAACTGAGCTGACTATGTAGGTCGATTTGTGGAGTACTGTCATCTGAACAGTTTTCCTTCATTCAGTGAGTACCGGATGTGTACCCATTTATTTAGGTCTTACTTAATCACTTTCAATAATATTTTGTAGTCTTACATTTCTTTTGTTTTATTCTTAGCTTTTCAGTGCTGTTATAAGTAAAACTAGTTTCTTAATTTCATTTCAGGCCACTCATGCTAGTATTTCTAAATATAACCAATTTTTGTACATTGACCTTGTATCTTTCGTGAACTAAATTGTTAACTCCAGAAGGTTTGCTGTTGTGGATCCTTAGACTTTTTACATATAAGATTATCTGCAAAAAATATAGTTTCGCTTTTTCCATTCCAATCTAGATGCTTTTTATTTCTTTTCTTTGTTTTGCCCTGTTTTGTTTTTGGTTCAATTATCCTGGCTAGAACCTCCAGTACAATGTTGAATAGAAAAGCAAGAGCAGGCATCCTTGTCTTTTTCCTCATCTTAGGAGAAAAGCTTTAAGACTTTCACCACTAAGTTTAATGTTTGCTGATGGTTTTTCATAATCTTTACTAGATTACCTAAAGGTTTGTTTTTTTGTTGTTGTTATTGTTATTTACTTAGGGCATTTACCATATTTTTTAGTTCTTTTCTTTTTTTCTTGATCAGTCTAGCTAAGCTATCAATTTTGTTGATTTTTTCCAAATAACTTTTGGTTTTGTTTATTTTCTCTATTGTTTTTCTGCTTGCTATTTTATTTATTTTTCACTCTAACTTTTATTATATCCTGGCTTTACATGCTTTCAGTTTGCTCTTCTTTTTGTAGTTTCTTTAGATGGAAAGTTAGGTTATTGAATGAGATCTTTCTTCTGTTCTAACATAAGAATTTACATCTATAAATTTCCCTTCATGCACTGTATCAGCTGCATTCCTTAAGTTTTGTGATGCAGAGTTTTTGTTTTCATTCATCTCAAAATATGTTCTGATTTCTCTTGGATTTATTCTTTGTCCAATTGATTATCTAAGTGTACACTGATTCATTTCCATATATTTGTGAATTTCCCAAATTTCCTTCTCTTTCTATTCTACCTTCATTTTATTACAGTTGAGAATATACTTTGTATTATTTAAATATTTCAAAAGTTATTGAGAGTTGTTTTATTGCCTAGTATATGGTCTTTGCTGGAGAATGTTCCATATGTTCTTATAAAGAATGTACACTCTGTTGTTGGATGGAGCATGCTGTAGATATCTGTTAAAACCAGTTGGTTTATAGTATTATTCAAGTCTTATATTTCCTTATGGATTGGCTGCCTGATTGTCTAGCTATTATTGAAAGTGGGGAATTTAAGTCCTCAGCTATTATTGCTGAATTTTTTCTTCCTTCAATTCTGTCAATGTTTTCTTCATGTATTTTAGGACTCTGTTACATGTTTTTGGTGGACTGATCCTTTTATTATTATAAAATGTCCTTTGTTGCTAATAAAAATTTTTGCCTTTAAGTCTATTTTTTTCTGATTTCATATCATGATTCCATCTCTTTCTCAGCTCTTTATTTCCTGTGGATTTGAGTTACTACCTAGTGTTCTTTCATTTCAGCCGGAATGACTCCCATTAGTATTTCTTATAGAGATATCTTCAAGCAACAAATTTTTTTAGTTTTGTTTACCAAAGAATGTTTTATGATACTTAATGTCTTATGTTTTTCCTTCAGTGTTGGAGGGTATTTTTGCCAGATATAGAACTCTTGATTAATAAGTCTCATTAGACCCTTAGTAGCCATCTTGATTATCACACCAACTGCCATGGCATCATGGGGGTTGTATACAAAGTAACCCTTATTTTACTTCATAATTGCCCCAGTATGCGACAGCAATTATCCTGGCAATTTGGATATGCTAGAAAGAAGCCATAATATGTTTCCTTTAAGTGAAAAGACGGAACTCCCTGACATTGTAAGAAAAGAAAAATATTACAGGCTGAGTAAGGACAAATCTTCTACCCATAAAATTGTGAAGAAGAACAAAGAAATTTGTGCTAATTTTGCTGTCACACCTCAAGCTGCAAAAGTTACAGCTACCAGCATAAGGGCTTAGTTGAGGTGGAAAAGACATTAAATTTGTAGGCAGAAAACAGGAACAAAAATGTCTTCTGTCAGCAATTAGGTTTGGTACTTTCAGCATTTTGTTTTGTTTTGTTTACATTTTTGTTAGCGTATTGTGTATCTCAATTTATCTATGCCTCAGGTAGCCATGATATTCAGTAACTGCCTCTGATTGTCTTCAACAAATATCCCCTGAACAAAGGCTGAGGGAGCTCCAAGTCAGGCCAATAAAGATAGTCTTGTCAGTGGGGTCTTCCTGGCACCTCTTAGTCAGGTCAGACAATGACATTTCTCTGGGAATAAGGCTTTGAATGAGTCACAACCCCTTTTTTGTTCCTTTCTGTGGCTCCCAGGAGCTTGTTTTTCACCAACATTGTAGGATATTGACTTTCAAGGCTACCATGGATCTGGAAGGATATGATAAGCATAGAGCAAGTAAGAACACTATAAAGCTCAACATTATCACCAAAATTTGCCTACATTCCTCAATAAATGCTTCAAGGTTGCTGCAAGTCTTTGGATATTTTCCAGAGCTCTGAAAAACTTGCTTCTATTTTTCCCAGTTGATTTTATGAAGAAATAAATTTTTGAAGGTTCCTAGCTTGCCATTTTTACTGACATCACTTCCAAATTCTCGGTTTTGTTGTCGTTGTTGTTTTTTGAGACAGAGTCTCACTCTGTTGCCCAGGCTGGAGTGCAGTAGTGTGATCTCAGCTCACTGCAACCTCTGGCTTCCAAGTTCAAGCAATTCTCCTGTCTTAGCCTCCTTAGTAGCTAGGATTACAGGTGTGTACCACCATGCCTGGCTAACTTTTATATTTTTAGTAGAGCTGGGGTTTCACCAAGTTGGCCAGGCAGGTCTCAAACTCCTGAATTCAGGGTATCCTCCCACCTTGGCCTCCCAAAGTGTTGAGATTACAGGTGTGAGCCACTGTGCCTGGCCCCAAATACACTTTAAATACATTTCTGAACTCACAAAAATGTAAAGGAAATACAAAATGATTACACACACACACACACACACACACACAATCTAGAGGAGAAACTAATGTCAAAACTAAAGTCATCAATCAACATAGAAGCCAGAGATGCCCTGGAAATATGCCCAAACCAAAAACCTAGGGCTTTGTTAGTTAACACTTTGGCTCCCTTAGGTAGTAAATCAAAACTGGGGCAATCAATAGGAAAATTAAAATACTTTTGTTTTAAAAAGCTGGGAATGAGATGTCAGGAGGTGACTTTGAAATGCTCTGACACATCCTGACTGAGAATCTAGAATTTTTTCTGATTGACTAATAGGATTTAAACTGACGAAGAAGGGAACTGAATCTCAGACCTCCACATAAATCCAGGCACCAAAATTGGCTATATATTTAGTAGAAAGGACAAAATTTGAAGGATATGAAAAGTGAACCAATTAACAAATCGGTCTCTGCAGGCAGTAGTTTAAAACATTAATAATTTTATTAGTCTTCCTAATGTTTTCTAATCAGCTTTACTCTCATACTGGAATGTGAATTCATACCATGCTCATAGTCCAAGAGACCGCAAACCAATAAATCAAACTAGAATGGTTCCCGATTGGTCCTACTTCCAGAGCGAAGCAGAAAACACGTAAATCATCTCAATCTTAGTCCCTCAATAAATCAAACTAGAATGGTTCCCGATTGGTCCTACTTCCAGAGCCAAGCAGAAAACACGTAAATCATCTCAATCTTAGTCCCTCAATAAATCAAACTAGAATGGTTCCCGATTGGTCCTACTTCCAGAGCCAAGCAGAAAACACGTAAATCATCTCAATTTTAGTCCTTCAATAAATCAAACTAGAATGGCCCCCGATTGGTCCTACTTCCAGAGCCAAGCAGAAAACAGGCAAATCATCTCAATCTTAGTCCCTCAATAAATCAAACTAGAATGGTTCCCGATTGGTCCTACTTCCAGAGCCAAGCAGAAAACACGTAAATCATCTCAATCTTAGTCCCTCAATAAATCAAACTAGAATGGCCCCCGATTGGTCCTACTTCCAGAGCCAAGCAGAAAACACGTAAATCATGTCAATCTTAGTCCTTCAATAAATCAAACTAGAATGGCCCCCGATTGGTCCTACTTCCAGAGCCAAGCAGAAAACACGTAAATCATCTCAATTTTAGTCCTTCAATAAATCAAACTAGAATGGCCCCCGATTGGTCCTACTTCCAGAGCCAAGCAGAAAACAGGCAAATCATCTCAATCTTAGTCCCTCAATAAATCAAACTAGAATGGTTCCCGATTGGTCCTACTTCCAGAGCCAAGCAGAAAACACGTAAATCATCTCAATTTTAGTCCCTCAATAAATCAAACTAGAATGGCCCCCGATTGGTCCTACTTCCAGAGCCAAGCAGAAAACAGGCAAATCATCTCAATCTTAGTCCCTCAGGATATCCAAAGTTAAAGTTTAGACAAATGCAAGCTATCTATAAAATTTAACAAAGTGTTGAAGGGTCAAACTACTATAAGCAGGAGTCAACAGAAACCATAAAAAGAACAACAAGACACAGAAAAATATAAATATTAAAATTATAACAAACTCTATACTCAGGAAGTAGGTTTAAAAGTACGTTTAAAGTGAAAAGATAGAGATCAGCACTGGGGAGCATTAAAAGGGGCCAGTGGTCCACTCTGGAACTTTAAAGTAGCAAGTCTCATGATAATTTTGTCTTAGGTAGTCTGCCTTTCAGTGGTAAAGAGAGAGGGGCAACCCTGAAGTGTCAAGGATCCATTTAGAGGCTACTACAAAGCTTAGGTGAGAGAGATTGATGGCCTGAAAACCAGGGTGGTAGTAAGAATTGAGAGGAGAGAAAGATTTGAGAAACAGCAGAAAAAATTAGCACAACTTGTAATTCACTAGCTATGTGGAAGACAGCCAAAGCAATCCTATGAAAAAGAATGAAGCTGGAGGTATCACGCTACCCAAATTCAAACAATCTACAAGGCTACAGTGACCAAAACAGCATGGCACTGGTACAAAAACAGACACATAGGCCAATGGAACAGGTTAGAGAGCCCAGAAACAAAGCTGCGTAGCTACAACCATCTGATCTTCGACAAAGCCAACAAAAACAAGCAATGGAGAAAGGACACCCTACTCGACAAATGGTGCTGGGATAACTGACTAGCCATATGCAGAAGACTGAAACTGAACCCCTTCCTTTCACCCCAAACAAAAATCAACCCATGATGGATAAAAGACTTAAATGGAAAACCTAAAACTATAAAATCCTAGAAGAGGACAGGCATGGTGGCTCACACCTGTAATCCCAGCCTGAGGCAGGCAGATCATGAGGTCAGGAGTTTGAGACCAGCCTGGCCAACATGGTGAAACCTTTAGTAGATATTTAGTATATCTACCAAAAATATAAAAATTAGATGGGCATGGTGGTGCACGCCTGTGCATGGGCATGGTGGTGCATTCCAGCTACTGGGGAGGTTGAGGCAGGAGAATCACTTGAACCCAGTAGGTGGATGTTGCAGTGAGGCGTTATCATACCACTGTACTCCAGCCTGGGTGGCAGAGCAAAAAAAAAAAAAAAAAAAACGCTATAAACTCTCTGGGAGATAACCTAGGAAATACCATTCTGACATAGGACCTTGCAAAGATTTCATGAAGATGCTGAAAGCAATTGCAACAAAAACAAAAACAGACAAGTAGAAACTAATTAAACTAAAGAAGAGCTTCTGCAGAGCAAAACAAACTATCAACAGACTAAACAGACAGCCTACAGAATACGAAAAATTTTTTGCAAATTATGCTTCTGACAAAGGTCTAATATCCAGAATCCATAAGAAACTTAAACAAATCTACAAGCAAAAAACAACCTCATTTAAAAAAAGAGGGGAGCAAAGGACATGAACAGACACTTCTCAAAAGAAGACATACACACAGCTAACAAACATGATAAAATTCTCAACATCAGTAATCACTAGAGAAATGCAAATCAAAACTACAATGAGATACCATCACATAATAGTCAGAATGGCTCAAAAAATAGAAACTGGCAAAGTTGCAGAGGAAAGGGAATGCTTATACACTACAGGTGGGTATGTAAATTAGTTCAGCCATTATGGAAAGCAGTTTGGTGATTTCTCAAAGAACTAGGGAATTACCCTGCGACCCAGCAATCCTGTTACCGAGTATATACCCAAAGGAATATAAATCATTCTACCATAAAGACACGTGCATGCATGTGTTCATCACAGTACTATTCACAATAGCAAGGGCACAGATTTAACCTAGCTGCCTTTCAATGAATGGTGAACTGAATATAAAAATGTGGCACACATATACCATGGAATACTACGCAGCCATAAATTTAAACAAAGCAAGATCATGTCCTTCGCAGCAATGCAGATGGAGCTGGAGGCCACCCAGCTATAGCTTAAAAATTATTCTAAGCAAAAAAAAAAAAATTATTCTAAGCAAACTAACACAGGAACAGCCGAACAAAGACCACATGTTCTCACTTATAAGTGGGAGTTAAACACTGAGTACACATGGACATAATTATGGAAACAACAGACATTGGGGCTTATTTGAGGGTGGAGATTGGGAGGAGGGCTAGTATCAAAAACTACCTATAAGCTACCATGCTTATTATCTGAGTGACAAAATAATCTGTACATCAAACCCCCATGACACACAACTTGCATATATAACAAACCTGCACATGTATCCTGGAACCTAAAATAAAAATTAAAAATTAAATAAAATGTGCACACAAAAAATAAACTGGATTTAGGCATGCCTTTTTGTATATAAACATTGAGCTATTGGCACAGTTAAGAACCAACTGAATTATACCTCAGTAGATCAAAATAGCTAATATTGATGTAAAGATAATCAATACAGAAGACAAAATATTTCAGGTCAGATTTAGGATTTTTTTTTTTTTTTTGAGATGGAGTCTTGCTCTGACACCCAGGCTGGAGTACAATGGCATGATCTTGGCTCACTGCAGCCTCCGCCTCCTGGGTTCAAGTGATGCTCTTGCCTCAGCCTCCTGAGTAGCTGAGATTACAGGTGCCCATTTCCATGCCTGGCTAAGTTTTATATTTTTAGTAGAGATGGAGTTTGGCTATGTTGGCCAGGCTGGCCACAAACTCCTGACCTCAGGTGATTCACCCACCTCAGCCTCCCAAAGGGCTGGCATTACAGGCGTGAGCCACCACGCCCAGCTCAGATTTAGGATTTTACATGAAATTATCACTGCTGGAAAACCAACAGATTATATATCGGATGGATCCCAGGAGATGTGTGAGGATTGACACAACGTGGAATAAACATTAAAAAAAAAAAAGCTTCAACAGACCAGTTTGAGCAGTATAACAAATTCCAGAATGTGAGGACAGATCCTTTAAAATAACCCCATCAGACAAAAATGAAAAAAGAAAAAGGAATGAACAGAGCCTACATGGCATATGGGACACCATAAAGCAATCAAACATTTGAATTTTCAGTGTCCCAGAAGGCAAAGAGCAAACCAAGGGGATGGAAAAGCTATTTAACAAAGTAATAAAACTTTCCAAGTCTAGAAAGAGATTTAGACATGCAGATACAAGAAGCACAGATATCCCCAAACAGACATAATTCAAAAAGATATTCTCCATGGCACATTATAATCAAATTTTCAAAAATCAAAGACAGAGAAAATTCTAAAAACAGCAAGAGAAAAGTCTCTAGTCACATGTAAGGGAACCCCATCAGACTAACAGTTGATTTCTCAGAATAAGCCTTACAGGCCAAGAAAGAATGGGGTGATATATTTTAAGTTTAGAAAGAAAGAAACCATCAGCCAAGGATACTACATCCAGAAAACTTATCCTTCATAAATGGAGATGAAATAATGTCTTGCCCAGATAAGCAAAAGCTGAGGGAATTAATCACCACTAGACCAGCTATATAAGAAGTGTGTAAGGGAATCCTACACCTGGAAGCAAAAGGATATCTATCATCATGGAAACACATGAAAGTATAAAACCCACTGGTAGAGCAAGCACACAAATAAGGAAAACAATCCAAAGGTTATCACTAAAGATAACCACCAATTCACAATGATAAACAATAAGAGAGGAAGGAACAAAGGATATATAAAGCAACCAGAAATCCATTAATAAAATGACAGGAGCAGGACACGGTGGCTCACATCTGTAATCCCAGCACTTTGGGAGGCTGAGGCGAGCAGACCACCTGAGGTCAGGAGTTCAAGACCAGCCTGACCACTATGATGAAACCCCAGCTTTAAAAAAATAAATAAATAGGCCAGGCGTGGTGGCTCAAGCCTGTAATCCCAGCACTTTGGGAGGCCAAGGCGGGTGGATCACGAGGTCAAGACATCGAGACCATCCTGGTCAACATGGTGAAACCCTGTCTCTACTAAAAATGCAAAAAGAATTAGCTGGGCATGGTGGCACGTGCCTGTAATCTCAGCTACTCAGGAGGCTGAGGCAGGAGAATTGCCTGAACCCAGGAGGCAGAGGTTGCGGTGAGCCGAGGTCGCACCATTGCCCTCCAGCCTGGGTAACAAGAGCGAAACTCCGTCTCAAAATAAATAAATAAATAAATAAAAAGTAAAATGACAGGAATAACCCTCACATATCAAATACAGTCTTCAATGTAAATGGATTAAACTTTCCATTGAAAAGACAGACTGGCTGAATGGATTATAAAAATAAACATGACCCAAATATATGCTGCCTGCAAGAAACTCACCTCACCTGTGGAGACATAAAGACCAAAAGGAAAGTAGAAAAAGATATTCTGTGCAAAAGGAAACCGGAAGTGAGCGGGAATAGCTATACTTATATCAGATAAAACAGACTTTAAGTCAAAAACAGTAAAAAGAGACGAGGATGATCATTATATAATGACATGGGGCTACATTAGCAAGTGGATGTAACAGTTTGAAGCATATATGCACTCAATACTAGGATACCCAGATGTATAAAGCAAATACCATTAGACCTAAAGGGAGAGATAGACTCCAGTACAATAATAGATGAGTACTTCAACACTCTACTCAGCATTAGATAATCCAGACAGAAAATTAACAAAGAAACACTGATTTTAAACTGTACTTTAGACCAAATAGACCTAACAGACATTTATAGCACATTTCATTCAACAGTTACAGAATACACATACTTCTTCATCAGCACATGGAACATTCTCCAAGACAGACCATATATTAGGACACAGAATAAGTCTCAACAATTTTTTTTTAAATCAAAATCATGTCAAGTATCCTCTCAGACCACAGTGAAATAGGATAGGAAAACAGTAACAAAGAAATTTTAGAATCTGTACAAATACATAAAAATTAAACATGCTCTGAATGACCTGTAGGTCGAGGAAGAAATTAAGAGGATATCAAAAAACATCTTGAAACAGTCCAGGTGTGGTGGCTTATGCATGTAATTCCAGCACTTTGGGAGGCCAAGGTGGGTGGCTCACTTGAGCACAGGAGTTTGAGACTGCCCTGGGCAACATAGTGAGATTCTGTGTCTACAGAAAAATACAACAGTTCACCAGGCATGCTAGTGCGTGCCTGTAATCCCAGCTACTCGGAAGGCTCAGGAAGAAGGATCGCTTGAACCCAAGAGGTGGAGGTTGCAGTGAGCCAAGACTGCACCCCAGCCTGAGCAACAGAGAGATCTTGTCTCAAAAAATAAAATGTCTTGAAAAAATGAAAATTGAAACACAACATACCAAAACCTATGGGATACAACCAAAGTGTGCTAGGAAGGAAGTTTATAGCAATATATTTTAAAAGCAGAAAGATTTCAAATAAACAAACTGATACACCCCAAAGAACTAGAAAAGCAAGAACAAAACAAACCCCAAATTAGTAGGACAGACATAATAAAGATCAGAGCAGACCGAAATGAAATAGATTTCTAAAACAACACAAAGAATCAATGAAACAAAAAATTTGTTTTTGAAAAGGTAAACAAAATAGATAAACTGTCAGCTAGACTAACCAGGGGGGAAAAAAAGATGGCCCAAATAAACAAAATCCAAGATGAAAAAGAAGACACTGCCAGGCACAGTGGCTCATGCCTGTAATCCCAGCATTTTGAGAGGCTGAGGCAGATGGGCTGCTTGAGCTCAGGAGAACAAGACCAGCCTGGGCAACATGGCAAAACTCCATCTCTAAAAACAACACAGAAATTAGCTGGGTATGGTGGCATACACTTGTACTCCCACTACTCACAAGTCTGAAGTGGGAAGATTGCTTCAGCCCAGGAGGTTCAGGCTGCAGTGAGTCATGATCACACCACTGCACTCCAGCCTGGGTGACGGAGCAAGACCCTGTGTCAAAAAAATTAATAAATAAAAGTAGACATTACAGCTGACACCAAAGAAATACCAAAAGTCATCAGACACTATTATGAACAACTATATATTAATAAACTAGAAAACTTAGAGGAAATGCATAAATTCCTTGACACATACAAGCTACCATGATTGAATCAGGAACAAACAGAAAACCTGGACAGGGAAATCACGAATAATGAAAGTGAATTCATAGTAAAAAGTATCCCAGTGGCGAAAAGCTCAGGACCCAATGGCTTCACCGCTAATGATTTCACTACCAAATTCTACCAAACTTACAAAGACAAATTAACACCAATTCTCCTCAAAGTATTCCAGAAAATTGAAAAGGAGGGAATTCTTCCTCATTCTACTCGGCTAGCAGTACCCTGATACCAAGTCCAGATAAAGAATGCAACAACAAAAAAGACAGTTACACTCTAATATCCCTGATAAACACAGATGTAAAAATCCTCAATAAAATACCAACCAACCGAATCCAACAGTACATCAAAAAGACAACACACCAGGATCAAGTATGATTTGTCCCCAAAATGCAAAGGTGGCTCCACATACACAGATCAACAAAGATGACATACCACATCAATAGAATAAAGGATAAAAACCGTATGATCATTTCAAGAGATGTAGTTTGATAAAATTCAAAATCTCTTCATGATAAAAACTCTCAACAGGCCGGGCGCAGTGGCTCAAGCCTGTAATCCCAGCACTTTGGGAGGCCGAGGCGGGTGGATCACGAGGTCAAGAGATCGAGACCATTCTGGTCAACATGGTGAAACCCGTCTCTACTAAAAATACAAAAAATTAGCTGGGCATGGTGGTGTGTGCCTGTAATCCCAGCTACTCAGGAGGCTGAGGCAGGAGAATTGTCTGAACCCAGGAGGCGGAAGTTGCGGTGAGCCGAGATTGCGCCATTGCACTCCAGCCTGGGTAACAAGAGCGAAACTCCGTCTCAAACAAAACAAAACAAAAAACTCTCAACAAACTAGGCATTGAAGGGGTATATTAATACCTTGACATAATAAAGGCTATGTATGACAAACCCACAGTTAACATCATACCATCATAGCCTTCAGCTTTTCCTCTAAAAACTGAAACAAAACAAGGATCTCTATTTTCACCATTCCTATTCAACACAGTACTGGAAGTCTTGGCCAGTGCAATCAGGCAACAGAAACAAAAGGCACCCAAATTGGAAAAGAGGAAGTAAAACTGTCCCTCTTTGCAGATGACATGATCTTGTATCTAGAAAAACCTAGACTCCACCAAAAACTCTTAGATCGGATACATAAGTTCAATAAAGTTGTAGGATACAGCCGGGTACGATGGCTCATGCCCATAATCCTAGCACTTTAGGAGGCCAAGGCAGGAGGATCACTTAAGGTCAGGAGTTCAAGACCAGCCTGACCAATATGATGAAACCCTGTCTCTACTAAAAACATAAAAATTAGCTGGGCATGGTGGCATGTGCCTGTAGCCAGAAGCTACTCAGGAGGTTGAAACAGGAGAATTGCTTGAACGGAGGCAGAGGTTGCAGTGAGGTGAGATTGTGCCACTGCACTCCAGCCTAGGCTACAGAATAAGACTCCATCTCAAAAAAAAAAAAAAAAAAGAAAAAGAAAAAAAGAAAGTTTTAGGATACAAAATCAACATACGAAAATTAGTAGCATTTCTGTATGTCAATAATAAACTAGCTGAGAAAGAAATCAACAGGAAATCCCATTTATAATAGCTACAAGAAAATAAAATACCTAGAAAAAGAATTTAACCAAATAAGTGAAAAACCTCTACAATGAAAACTAAAGAATATTGATGAAAGAAATTGAAGAGGACATAAAGAAATGGAAAGACAATCCATGCTCATGGATCAGAAAAAATTAATATTGTTAAAATGACCATACAACCCAAAGCAATCTACAGATTCAATAAAATCCCTATCAAAATACCAATGTAATTTTTCACAAAGTAATCCTAAAATTCATATGGAAAAAATTCTAAAATTCATATGGCACCAAAAATGAGCTCGAATAGCCAAAGCAATCCTAAGTAAAAAGAAAGCTGGAGACATTATACTATCTGACTTCAGATAGTAATAATACATCTTATTACAAGGCTCTAGTGACCAAAATAGCATGGTATTGGTATCAAAACAGGTATAAAATGAGACAAAATAAAAAACACAGAAGTAGATCCAACATTTACAGCCAATTGATTTTCAACATGGTGTCAAGGACACTCAATGGGGAAAGGACATTCTCTTCAATAAATGGTGCTGGGAAAATTGGATATCCATATGCAAAAGAATGCAACTAACTCCTACCTTTCACTATGTACAAAAATCAACTCAAGATGGATTAAAGGCTGGGCGCCATGGCTCACGCCTGTAATTCCAGTACTTTGGGAGGCCGAGGCAGGTGGATCACGAGGTCAAGAGATTGAGACCATCCTGGCCAACTCCCATCTCTACTAAAAATACAAAAATTAGCCGGGCGTTTGGCACGTGCCTGTAGTCCTAGCTACTTGGGAGGCTGAGGCGGAAGAATCACTTGAAGCTGGGAGGCAGAGGCTGCAGTAAGCCGAGACTGTGCCGCTGTGCACCAGCCTGGCAACAGAGCAAGACTCTGTCTCAAAAAAAAAAAAAGGAAGGTGAATTAAAGACTTAAACATAAGGCCAGAAACCTTAAAACTAGTAGAAGAAAACATAGGAGCAGCATTTCAGGAGACTGGTAAACATTTTATGGCTAAGACTTCAAAAGCACAGGCAACAAAAAAGTAGACAAACTGGACTATATTAAACTAAAAAGCTTCTGCACATCAGAGGAGACAATGGAGTGAAAAGACAACCTGTTGAATGGAAGAAAATATTTGCAAACTATTCATCCAACAGAGAATTAATATCCAGAATACACAAGGAACTCAAACACCTCAACAGTAAAAAATAATAATAATTCCATTTAAAAGTGGGCAAAGAGTCAGGCATAATGGCTCATGCCTGTAATCCTAACACTTTGGGAGGCTTATGTAAGTGGACCACTTGAGCCCAGGAGTTTGAGACTAGCCTGGGCAACATAGCAAAACCCCATTTCTACAAAAAAATACAAAAATTAGGCTGGGTCTGGTGGCTCACGCCTGTAATCCCAGCACTTGGGGAGGCCAAGGTGATAGGATCACTTGAGCCCAAGAGTTCAAGACCAGCCTGGGCAACATAGTGAGACCTCATCTCTAACAAAAATTTTAAAAATGAGGTGGGATGATCACTTGACCCAGGAGGTTGAGGCTACAATGAGCAGTGATTGCACCACTGCACTCCCATCCGCATCTCAGAAACACATGCGCGCACACATACACACACACACACACACATTAGCTGGCCATAGTGGCATGTGCCTGTGATCTCAGCCATTCCAGAGGCTGAGGCAGGAGAATCATTGAGCCCAGGAAGTGGAGGCTGCAGTGACTCATGATTGCGCCACTGCACTCCAGCCTGGGCAACAGAGCAAAACCCTGACACCAATCAATCAATCAAGAGTGGCCAAAGGACATAAATAGATATTTCTCCAAAGAAGACATACAGGTATATGAAAAAATGCTCAATGTCACTAACCACAGGGAAATGCAAATTAAAACCACAATGAGATACCATGTTTACTCAGTGAGAATGGCTATGATTAAAAACACAAAATAGGCCAGGCATGGTGGCTCATGCCTGTAATCCCAGCACTTTGGGAGGCCGAGGTGGGCAGATCACCTGAGGTCAGGAGTTCAAGACCAGCCTGACCAACATAAAGAAACCCCGTCTCTACTAAAAATACAAAAAAAATTAGCTGGGTGTGGTGGAGCATGCCTATAACCACAGCTACTTGGGATGCTTAAGCAGGAGAATCGCTTGAACCTGGGAGGCGGAAGTATAATAGAGGACATCTGGGCCTTAATTCCACCCCCTGCCCAAGCCCCGACAGCCGGTGCCTAGTGGAGGGTCGACAAACAGTAGTCTGTATTATTACCACTCTCTCGGTGCAGTTCCAGCAAGGAGGGGTTCCACACCTCGTTGGCGACCAGTTCCCGAGCAGGGCTCCGAGCACCCTCTCGAGGCGGTGGTGCAAGGGCCCACGGGGGCTCTGAGGCTCCTCCCGGGCCTTGTGGGCCTTCACAGAAGTGGCAGGGCATTGGCACAAGCTCTTGAGGCTGCGCAGGCTGAAAGGTCCCTCGGGCATCCAGAAAGCTCGCCCGACACTCATCGGTGAGGTTAGGCCCCAGCTCGTATCCATGGAGGAGGAATTCGGTTTCCATGGACTAAGTCAACCGAAACGGCCGTTTTGAAGCCTGAGCGGATCTCCCATCAGGCCCCGCCCCCCGGCGTGGGCCCCGCCCCCCGGCGTGGGCCCCGCCCCCCGGCGTGGGCCCCGCCCCTGGCGCCAGGCTCGCTGGGCAGTACCTCCTCACAGAGGTCCCTCCCGTGGTTCCTTCCTTCTGCTAAATGATCAGGGAGTCTCAAGCACACACTCAACTGGGACAGACCGTGAGCAGGTACCTTGGGGCCCCGACCTCCAAGAAGACAAGATAAGCAAGCGAAAGTCACTACCAGTGTGAAAACTGCTGGAATGAAGGGAAGAAGGGACAAGGATAGTCTCCTAGAGGGACATCTCTTTCAAAATAAAAGGGAGGGGCCGAGCGCGGTGGCTCTCTCCTGTAATCCCAGCACTTTGGGTAGCCGAGGAGGGTGGATCACTTGAGGTCAGGAGTTCGAGGCCAGCCAGGCCAACCCTCCCTACTAAAAATACCAAAATTAGCTGGGTGTGGTGGCGACACCTGTGGTCCCAGCTACTAGGGAGGCTGAGGCAGGAGAATCACTTGAACCCGGGAGGCGGAGGTTGCAGTGAGCCGAGATGGCGCCATTACACTCCAGCCTGGGCGACAAGAGTGAAACTCAGTTTCAAATAAAATAAGATAAAATAAAAAAGAGAAAAGGTGAAATACAAACTTCATTGAAGCTGTGATGCTATAAAGGCCTCATCTAATGGTTTCTAGTTCCTCTGTGAAGCAGGGCAAAATTTTGAGGATAATTGAGAAGGTTTGAAATAGCCTTCAGTAGGATCAAAGAGAAGGTTGACTAAGGAAGTCTCTGTGAGGCAAGTAGCTTTCTTTGTCTTAAGTATGGTGTCTAACACATGGCAGGTACTTAATACATATTGAATGAATGAAGTGAATGAATAAATAATTTCCACATGGCCACAGAGCTGATCGTTAGTGTTGACCATGAGTTTACTGTGGTAGCATTGGTAACTTTATGTGTTCTTTGACCAAAAATGGCTGTACCATTCATTTCCTAAGGGGTAGGTCTGGAAGAGGCAGAGTTGGGATTTTGCCGGACGGGAATTATGAAAAGGGAATGGGGTGGAGATATTTAAGATGTAAGTTAGGGCCGGGCTGGTGGCTCATGCCTGTAATCCCAGCACTTTGGGAGGCCGAGGCGTGGATCACCTGAGGTCGGGAGTTCAAGACCAACCTGACCAACATGGAGAAAACCTGTCTGTCTGTACTAAAAATACAAAATTAGCCCAGCATGTTGGCACATGCCTGTAGCCCAGCTACTCAGGAGGCTGAGGCAGGACAATCGCTTGAACCTGGGAGACGGAGGTTGCAGTGATCTGAGATCATGTCAGTGCACTATGGCCTGGGCAACAAGAGCAAAACTCCGTCTAAAAAAAAAAAAAGATGTAAGTTAGGTGGCAGGTCATAAAATCTTCCACAGTTGGGGAGAAAATGAAGACAAGTGACTGCTGATGAGCAGAGAGTAAATGCGAAGGACAGGCTGGAGATTCTGACCTTGTTTGAGAATTGGCACATTAAGAAGATAGGCTGGAAAGACTGGGGGTTGAGATTGAAGGATTAGATGTCAGACCATCATTTGAGAAGACAAAGCTGTTGCAGGTAATAAGGTCTAAGAGCATCCATAACTGAGTTGGAATGGATTTAAGTATTCTGAGATGAGAAGGTCTATTCATTGAAAGGCAAAGTGATTGGATGGTCCGATCACATGGCTGTTGGGATATCTGAGAAAGTTTCATTCTCTTCAAGACCCAATCCCTGGGACATACCCCAGCCCTACTCCCCTTACAGGACCTACACAGGATTTGCATTCACACTTCAATCTAAGCTCCAGAGCCTGAAGGGGCAATGGTGTGACTCTGGGCCAGAAGACAGGAGCAGGGCAGTGAGAGAAGAATGCAGTGGACATCTGCTTTATTTTTATTTTGACACCCAGCTTTTAGTCTCCCTTCTGGAAATGGTATCTCTATTGTCCTCCAGGAATTAGTACAGTGAGAATTACTCCTCTTCGTTAGTCTCAGTCTGTGTGCAGACTTAGACTTACAATCTTTCTTATTATGTTCCTACACCATGGGTAGCTATGTGACTCAGGCCTGGCAAAGGGAACCTTCTGTTTCTCTACCCCCAGTGCTTGGCTGAGAAATGGGCATGTGACTCAGCTGGAGCTGGTGAGGCACAATAAGATTTCTCCATGGACTCTGGAGTGAGGCATCACGTTTTCAGCTGCATTTGAAGCTGGGAAGATACTGCCCTGAACTTGCAGGCAGCTGAGAATGAAACCAGCACAGAAGACAGAGAGCCAAGAAATGGAGACATACTGAATCCTGATGATGTCAGTTGCACCCTGTATTAATCTTGCTGCCTAAAGCCAGTCTGTATAGAGACTTTTCCGTTACATGAGTCAATATGTTCCTTTTTGTGTTTAGCTAAGTTGAGTTGCATTCTACATCACTAAATCCAAATTATTCCTCACAGTACTAGGGGGGTTCTCCATTCCTGGCTTCTGCTTCTGAGCTAGCTCACTAAATGTGTGTTAATTTCCCTGTACCTCAGTTTTTCTTTCTGTCAAAGGGGTTGAACCATATATAGACTTGTAAGATTAACTGGTTAATAAATTTTAAAATATGAATCTGCTCTATCATATTGAGGCAAAAGAAACTTCACATTCATCTTTCTAATCAAATCTGGCTTTTGCCCTTGGTGATGAGGGTGGGCAGACATCGTGTATCAGTCATTACTGGAGACATTTTTCCCTCTTTAGCATGGTATACCTTTTCCAAAAAGATTGAGGAAAGAGCCTCTAGTCTTCAGTTCATTATAGTTGACCCCAAAGTTTCCAAATTCACAAAATATAGTAATTTCCTTGGCCGGGTACAGTGACTCACACCTATAATCCCCTCACTGTGGGAGGCCAAGGCGGCTGGATCGCTTGAGCCCAGCAGTTCAAAACTAGCCTAAGCAACATAGTAAGACCCTCAGCTCTACAAAAAGAAATAAATTTAAATTTAAAAAATTTTAAATATAGTAATTTCCTGAATTCAGGAATGAGAATCTGAGTTAGGAATTCCTGAAATCATAAATTGTTCTATACTTTTATGACATTTTGTTTGTATATTTTTAATAAAATAAGAAATGTTAAGCTTAGTAAGAATTCAAAAATAACTCTGGGCTGGGTGTGGTGGCTCACACTTCTAATCCCAGCACTTTGGGAGGCTGAGGTGGGCAGATCACCTAAGGCCAGGAGTTCAAGACCAGCCTGGCCAACATGGTGAAACCCTGTCTCTACTAAAAATACAAAAAAATTAGCCAGGTGTGGTGGTGGGCACCTGTAATCTCAGCTACTCAAAAGGCTGAAGCAAGAGAATTGCTTGAACCTGGGAGGCAGAGGTTGCAGTAAGCCAAGGTTGTGCCACTGCACTGTAGCCTGAGCAACAGAGTGATACTGTCTCAAAATAAAATAAAATAACTGTGGCTTATAATAAATATTTAAACAATAAATAATTGTGTGAACAGCATTCCTGAAATCATCTGTCAGAATTGCCTATGTAAGGCCAGGTGCAGTGGCTCACGCCTGTAATCCCAGCACTTTGGGAGGCCGAGGAAGGTGGATCACTTGAGGTCAGGAGTTCAAGACCAGCCTGGGCTACAGGGTGAAATCCCATCTCTACTGAAAAAAAATACCAAAATTTAGCTGGGCGTAGTGGCAGACACCTGTAATCCCAGCCATTCAAGAGGCTGAGGCAGGAGAATTGCTTGAACCTGGGAGGTGGAGGTTGCAGTGAGCCGAGATTGTGCCTCTGCACTGCAGCCTGGGCAACAAGAGTGAAACTCTGTCTCAAAAAAACAAAACAAAACACAAATTGCCAATTTAAGTACTTGTTTACTTCTAAAACTTGTGTTTTTGGCAATGTCACTCTTGGGATTTGCATAACAAATAGTGTGTGTATAAATTTACTAATTTTTATTTTATTTATAAGAACAACTTGCCGGGTGCGGTGGCTCACGCCTGTAATCCCAGCACTTTGGGAGGCCGAGGTGGGTGGATCACGAGGTCAAGAGATCCAGACCATCCTGGTCAACATGGTGAAACCCCGTCTCTACTAAAAATACAAAAAATTAGCTGGGCATGGTGGCGCGTCCCTGTAATCCCAGCTACTCAGGAGGCTGAGGCAGGAGAATTGCCTGAACCCAGGAGGAGGAGGTTGCGGTGAGCCGAGATCACGCCATTGCACTCTAGCCTGGGTAACAACAGGGAAACTCCGTCTCAAAAAAAAAGAACAACTCACTTAGCAGACGGGGCATGAACTCTTCCTTCTAACAGCTATAAACAAAGACTGTTTAAATCATGACTACTTTACTCCTATAGTAAGTAGATAGAGCAGGAATACCTATGAGAGAAATTCTTCCTCCAGTTCTTGCTAGCTCAGACTTCCTCCCACCCTAAATTACCGTTATGGCTCCTCCTTAAGTTTCCATGATTGTCTGCCACTCTCAGTCCCCAGTAGAAAGTACAGACCTTGAATCTCAGAGACAGTGATCACAAGTCCCTGAACTGCTACTTGGCTTCCCCAATAAAAACTCAAACTTGGCCAGGAGCGGTGGCTGTAATCCCAGCACTTTGGGAGGCTGAGGCAGGCAGATCACCTGAGGTCAGGAGTTTGAGACCAGCCTGGCCAACATAGTGAAACTCCATCTCTACTAAATATACAAAAATTAGCCCGGTGCGGTGGCACATGGCTACAGTCCCAGCTACTCAGGAGGCTGAAGCAGGAGAACTGCTTGAACCTGGGAGATGGAGGTTGCAGTGAGCAGAGATCATGCCATTGTACTCCAGCCTGGGGATGTTTCAAGACTCTCTCAAAAAAAATAACTGAATACAAATAAAAACTTGTTCTTGTAATCCAAGGCAACTGATAGGCTCATTTAGGCTCTGGCTTCCAGTGACAATGAGTTCTAGATGACAAGCCTGAAAGAGAAGAGCCCCTCTCATTGTCTGGGCCCCTGCCCTAAGCCTGCGGTCTC